CTCACTTAAGATGTTTTTAGTTTGACTATTTTCAGTCCAAAATCCGATCAGATCAGATTAGATCAGATCTAACTCAGATAATTATAAAACACACATAATCATACATCTATCGGACTAGACCAAACCATAAAATTTCAGTTCAACTAAAAACAGTTTGCCTTCTGAATATTAAAAAAAAGAACTACATACAATCGAGAAGTTTTTTTTTAATAAGATTGAATCAGTCTTGTTTAGAAAATAATATATTTACTCACAATTTTAAGCTTTATTTAAAAGTAAAGCTTTAAATTTCCTCCATTCCTAAATCCCAACGCTCTCCACTACTGTAGTGCATTGATGGTGAGATGACAAAATAATTAAGAGGGTTTATTTCAAATGTGTCAAGAAAATAATAAAATAAACAAAGAAAAGAAAACCAAATTAAAAAGAAAAAAGCAAGTGGGTGGCCAAAGATTTTGTCAAAAGGTCGCACCAAGGTCCATGGACCTCATCGTGGAAATGTTCTAGATTGACAAATGTCGATTCATTTGCGAGGCATCCATTTTATTTTGCATTAGAAATTAGACTTCCATTAATAATATCTTCGGTGTAAAAAAGTAAATGGTGCATACGTGACACGAGAAAGATAGACACACATACAGATATTAGAAAAAAGTGAATATTTCTTACCTAATTTGAATGATCTTATATGTTTTTGGTAAGTTTTTCTTCACAATATCAAATACAACGTCTGAATGTAGATATTGTGGTTGACATTGTTACGAAAAATTATTAAAAATACATAAGACCATTAAAAAATGAGAAAAATATCACGAATTTATTCCAGAGGAGGCTGGGGGGGGGGGGGGGGGGGGGGAGGGGAGTTAGCCCACCCAATAGCCTTGGGTCTCACATGCCAAAGGGGTCTCCATAATCAAAGCTATTACTATTGGTATTATGTATAATTACTTAATAATTGGAAACTAGAATAGGAAAATTATCTTATGCGCATCCAGCAGGCAGCGACGTGTCACGTGTAGATGTCTAAACAAGATAATAAGGATTTTAACTTTGTAGAAATTGTCCAATATAGGAGTAAATATAAACATAATTGCACAAATAGGAGTAAAACTTAAAACTTCCTTCAATAGGAGTAAACATTAATTTTGTACCCTTAATATCCCTAACCTAGTTAATTCTAAAATATGACTTATTTTATCCTAACCTAGTTAATTTATGACTTATTCGATAATAATAATAATTATTTATTTATTTTTCAAAAAATAAAAAAATATAATTTTTTTTAAAAAAATAAAAAACTCAAAAAAATAAAATAAAATTCACCGCCGCTTCTGCCGCCTCAGCACCACCACCTCCAGTCACCAGGAGAAAAAAATGCCAAGTTCATTATGAATGCCATATTTATGGCAGAAAACAATGAAAATGTTGACATTCGCAAAGAGAAATATGCCATGTTTTTGGCATTTTCAGAAAAAAATAGTTTTTAGGAAAAAAGGAATTTTTTTCACCGCCCGTAGGTGGTGGTGCAGGGAGGTAGTACAAGCGGTGGGAAATGCATCCAGATTTTTTTGATTTTTTTATGGAGTTTTAATATTTTTATTAATTTTTTAGAAAAAATAAAAAATTTAAAAAATATTGTTTTTTAAATTTTTTATTTTATTAATATTTTATAAATTTTTTAATTATTTTTGTACGATTTTTGAATTTTTTCGAATTTATTATGAATTAAACATTTAATTAAAAGTTGTTGAGGCTTGGGTATGGGTATACTTGTCCAAACACTAAAGTTACTCCTATTCAAAACATGGTACTCCTATTTTTGCATTTTGCCTATGTTTTGCTCCTATTTGGGGAATTCTCTCTTAAACTTTTTAATACTTTAAGTGTTTTAGTGTGATTACAGTGAAATAATGTCTACTAAAGGAGTAAAGTTATATGATGGATAGTGTACCCGGGCTAACTTATCCGAGGGTTATTGCGGAGAATAACTAGAGAGAAGTCAGAGCAAACAAGTAAGAGAGAGAGAGTCAAATGTATTAAATGAACTCAGCGTGGTTTACAAAGGGAATAATGACTGCTATTTATAGCAGTCATAAATGCGTCCAGAGTACACATGTCAACAATCTGACGGCCGAGGATCACCTCAATCGGGGTGGCACCGACATTTGCATGTGGCCGCATTAAATGCGGTGGTTGGACGCGACGTTGTACTTGGTACGGTGATCCAGTGCATGTGGAGAGGAGATCTTGTCGAGGAAGACAGCCTTCGGCTGTACATGCTGTGCCGAAGGCTCCATGGGCCGGGGGGCCTCTATGCGCCAAGGGTTGTAGGTGCCGAAGGCTCTTGAATTCCGCCATTTCCTCCCGGTGGCTTCGTATGCTAAAATCTGACTGTTCTGTTAGATTTTGAGCCTTCGGCCATAGAGCCGAAGGCCTCAGTATGTACATCGTGTACTTCTTGACAGTCAGGCCGCTGTGCTTTGGGCCACTGCGCTTCCCGGGCCTGTTGGGCGTGTGTTAGAGTAGTAGGAGTCTATGAGGCGGGGGTTCCCGGGCCATATACTCCATCAGTATAAAGTTAAATATTTAATATGCTGAATGTATGACATATAGTTACGTAGTATAATTTAAGAATTATTGGGTTAATATTGCTATACTGGTAAAACAAATTGGTATTGTATAGATCAGATTATATGTCATATGATATAGGCATGAAATAATTAATGTGATGGTATTGGTATTACTAAATTATTTATTTTCTTTGATTTGTCATTTTTATTTATAAATTCTTGGTTTTTGTTAATTTAATTTTTATGATTTTTGTATTATATATCAGTACAAAAAGAAAGAATAAGTTAAGATAACAAGTGAAATTCTCTTTAATGAGTTTTTCCTTTGGACATTCACGTTATATCTTCGATTTGAATATGCTTTTTTCATATCATTTTTTTATGATTTGAATATGATGATTTTTTTGTCTGGGGCCTCCAAAGTCTTCAAGATGCCTCTGATTTATTCTTTTATCTCTCACATGCAACATATACTCCGTACACACTATAGTATTGGAGATGCTTAAATAATGCATTTGATGATGTGGAATTGCGATGCACTTGATGCTGTTAGAGCATCTCCAGTGCTACAACACGGTGCATATGTCACATTAGAGATAGACTCAAAAGAATAAAATCATGATAAATTTTCTTCTTATTTCTCCGGCCTTATATGTTTTTGATAAATTTTTCTTAACAATGTCAACCATATCTAGACATTGTACTTGATATTGACAAGAAAAACTTACTAAAACATATAAGATCATTCAAATAAGGAGAGAAATAACTCACCTATTAACTTTTATGTGTCTATCTCTCTCATGTCACGTATGCATCGCTCAGATTTTTGCATGGAAGATGCTATTAGAACATCTGCAATGGGAGTGTGGATTGTAGTGAGGTGACATAGGAAATAGAAATAGAGACATAATGAATACTTTAATTTAATAGAGATAATGACTGTATTTGGTTAGTGGCGTATTGGATCAAAATGCCTTCCTTCTAACAAAGAATCGAAAACGTTGGAAATTTCAACGTTTTGAGCATTAAGCGTCAAAAAACAAACATCACCAATGTGATGTGTAGGAAAAAATAAGAAAGAATAGAGAGATAGAGATAAGTTATACACTTGAGCCTGTAGTAAATGTCATAAATGGACCTTATACGAGATTTGAGGAGGAAAAATATTTGAAAATGAATTAAAATCAATATACAAAATGGTATACTTTATGGAACTCATGTGATGTAAGTGCGCGCAAGAGATCACTATCACATCGGAGATGCTCTTACTAATTACACTACCTCTGCCAACTATAGGTTCATGTGATTAATCTTTTGTAATTAAAAAAATGCACCAAATTCACCTGTGTTATAATGATTCAGAAGCGTATACCATAAAAACGGCTGTATGACCGACACCTTACAACCGGTGGCATTTTGTAATTCCGGTGAAAATCACGAATTCTCTTAAATGAGCATCGATGCAATTTTGGTGAGCATCGAGTCCGTTTTTTGACTATTAGGATTCTAACCATGAGAATCAATGATCCCTGCTTAATATCTTATAATTTACTTTCTTTTTATTGTTTTTTTTTGTTTTTATAAAAAAAATCTTGAATTATTTCTATAATCAATTCCAATTAATTCAATATGTGAATCTAAAGTAGTATGATAGGTTTGAAATGTGCACATTTTAAAATGAGCATAAAATAGTACCAAATGAGCATACACAACCCACAAAATGAGTATAAAAAATTCAAAAACTCATTTGTGTATGCTCATTGATTTTGGGTGTTACACTCATTTGAGTTTAACATAAAACTCATTTTTAATGTGCTCAATATTCACTTGTGTATGTTCATTTCTTTCATGTTTGTACTCATTTGAGTTTAATATAAAACTCATTTGAGATCAATAGCAGTTATGATTCCTTTGCAACGAGCAGACTTCCCTTGTCTCCAAAAATCACAATCTCAAACAACAAAATTGTGTAAGAAAAAGAGAAAAAGGAAAAGAGTGGAAAGAAAGACAGAGGGAGGAGAGGTAACTGCGCCGACAGAGCCGCTGCATCCGTGCCAGAGGAGAAGGGGACGAGAGGTGAGCGGCGGCAATGAGCAACGAGCAGGAGGAGAAGGGGATGAGTGGTGAGGGTTGACGACAGTCAAACAGATGTGAAGCCATATCGAAGAAAGAAGTGAGATCAGAGAAGCCTGCTGCGAAGGGAAGAAGCACAAAAGTAAAAAGAAGGCCGACTGTACGATATATTTTACCTAATGATTCAAGCGCATAATTCCTTTTGTGAAAAAAATTAACAATTTTAAAATCACTTTTCATAATATTATGATTGAATATTCAACTAAATTTATCAAAATTTCTATTGATTATTAAATTTATTTGTAATTAAGTTCGAATTTTGGGCCATTAATAAAAACAAAGGGTCGAATTTAGTGAAGGAGCTTAAAAATTTATCCGATATCAATCAACCTCTCTCCCTTCTACTCATAGGTATTGAAACGATAGTTCTCTCTTTGTCTTTGATTTCTCTGTCAGAAGCGCAAACCTTTTTCTTAAGAATTTCGTAAACTTCAGGTGATGGCATCACTTCTCCAGCTCACAGTTTCGAGTCCTAGCAAGCATGTTTTCATTATATTGAGCAGATTTAGAAGGATATACCGAAATCAGAATAAGCAGTTAGAAATTAGAAGTTAGTTATGCTGAATCAACAAGTTGTTAGAGAAATTGTTGTACTTACTAGTATAATAAATGACAGAAAAGCTTTGTTTCTGATTCATTATAAAATGACATCTCGATTCTTCTACCATTTCTCTCTTTACTAAATGCTCCCAAAACTCGAACTGATCTTATCTGGTTTATACTCGAACTTAATATAGATGCTGTACTACAACAATTGAGCAGGTGAAAATGGAAGAATACTTGCAATGCATGAAGACTCTGCGTTCTCAGATGAACGGTTTTTTTCCATCTCTCTGTCAATAATTGAGTAGGTTTAGTACTCGATCAGTTGGGACAATGAATCATACAGACGCTCCTGTGTGTATACACAAATTTTGTGTTCATGACTACAAAATAAGAATAATGAGCCTATATGTTGTATGTACTGCATACTGCTGAATGGATGAACCTTTTCGTATCATTGTGTGTGTGTATAATTCCAGATGTGGAGGATCAAGCGGCAAAAGTTTCAGCAGAAGAGCAGATGCTCTTTGCTACAGTTCAAACGCTCGAAGGAGACCTCAGTTCAGGTTTTTGCCAATTTGAAGCTCTACCTATATAATAGAAGCCATTCACTGAGCTGTGTACCTGTTGCCTATAGTATTATTTATAGATAAATTAATATTTTGCGTTGATTTTATTCTTTTTGAGATGATCTATGGAACTTTAAATGCATGTCAATCCAATTGAAATACAGATGCTCTTTCTGGTACTGCTAGTATGAAAGTTTGGACTAATTCAAATATACATCGAAAAAGAATGTTTGAAATTGCTATTAAGAATAGAATTGCATGAAGACTCGTGCTTCGAGTTGATGTGATGAACCTTAAATGTGCAGGACATATCAGGGAAACTTGTAGGATTATTTTATGAACCAGTGGGGTTCGTTTCGTCCATATGTTTGATTTTGTTTTTCTATTTATGGGACACTAAAGCTCACCTTCACTTGTGGACAGTTTTTCATTTGTAGTGCTTGTGAAGCACACAATTCCTGTGCAAGTGGGGGAAACCCTATGATGATGACTTTTTCGTAGTCTCATCTCATTATACTTCATAAGAAGACTGCAGCAAGGACATCCGGTGTTTTTACACGAATTTATGATGCTAACTAAATTTAGAAAATCAAATCTATCACATATTATATTTCACTGAAAAAACATAGTCGGGATTGAGATGGTGATGACTGAAGAGTTATGAAGTTCTTACATAAATCATAAGTGCAGTGAAGAGGCATACTCTTCAAACTAAGGAGGAAACTGACAAAATGGAAAAGGCAAAGGGAGAAATCTGCTCTTTGATCTTGGCAAAACAGAGAAAGTTTCCTTCTTTGGAAGCTAACCTAGCCACCATCTATCAGGTATCCATTTTTATTACTTTCTTAAATTTGAAATGCAAGCAGGGAATTTGTGAATATGCTTTTTAGTTTTTCTTGTGGAAAAGATCAATTTCTACATAATTGCAACCTCATGTCAAGTTCTATTTCTGATATTTCTTGATCCATGTATTTATGTGATCTAGTTACCTCTCTGAGGAGGATATACAGTGAAAAATGAATAACATGTACATATATGTATTTATTATGTGTGTTTCATTCATGTCTTCTTTAATGTATGAGTTGTGAGTTTTCTGGTAGGACCTTGTTACTCTATAACTTATCACCTTGACTTAATTTAATACTATTCTGCCTTAGCTGGCATCGTAAAGCATCCATATCTAGGTCTGCCGTAAGATTTAAATGGAAATATTCTTTGACATGTAATCATCTGTCCGCTACCAATCTTAGATTGGAAATAGCTGGTTATGATTAAAGTTGTTTAGCATCTTTCAATATCATCAATTAGCTGTAAGCAAGATCTCATTCTAGAAGTTGCTTAAGCAAAATAAAATTGTTCATGAACTACCATCTTCGCGTATACATCTTTTGTCAATATTCTGTTGCTCTACATGCTAAACTGTTTTAGAAAATGAATGCTATACTTATTACATATTCTCTTTCATCTGAGAAGTACATACTTAAAAATAGTTGGGCTTTTATTCCATGTCTTTAGTTGTACCTACAAACAAGGAAAACACTTAATTTCAATTTTCCTATCTTCTTTTCTTGCAAAATATATAAATAGTTTTTCTCTAATCCTTGTTATCTCTGTTTTCCAGTCATTAGAGCTTATTCAACAGGAAAGAGGGAACTTGCCAGTGAAACTTTCAGAGAAGAAGTAGTTTAAAGACCTCTCATCAAAGATTTTCGTATTGGAAAGGGATGTTGTATTTATACATAATATCTCCTTGCAGATCATATTATTCCATGGTTACTGATGATATCATCAATCAATTGAAAGAGCAACAGGTTTGCCATCTTCATTATCCACCATGTTTTTCCATTGTCATGTACATATTTAGATTGTAAATGCTGCTATGCTGAATAGCGCTGGATGGATGATCACAAGCATTCCTCATTAATTGGAGAAACTTCTCAGGTAATTCCTTACTGAACTTTGCGTCTTATCACCCTTATCCTTACTGTTTTAGTGTAATTGTTTTCAGTCCATATTCCATAACCAAGCTCATCATTGAATTGAAGTTTTTTAAAGGAACCTCGAGTCATATTTTAAAATGTTTAGTTCGTTGAGTTCTTGACTATATATGATATGATATTTGTTATACCTATGAGCAATGATTTAATGCTGCAGCTAACTGAAACAGCTTTCAAGAAACCTGGTGAACTTGAAGGTATGACTTGGGAAAATCCATAGTGCATTAACAAATAGACTTTAAGAAACTGTTGCTTAGCATCTACTACTACGTACGAGAATTATGCATAGCTATATGATAGTTTGTTATTGTAAATTGTAATTTGTAATAAACCACTACATGATTTTCTGACTTCAAACCATGCTTTTATAACCAAACGACTTGAATACTGAAGAGGTAATATCGTTTCCCCTCCAATATGGTTAACAAGTAAAACAGTAAAACACAGCGTCTTGCTTTTTCATATACAAGGGGGCTTCACATGGGGAAAAAATATGTTCCATACTAATGGATTTGGGTCCATAATAACCATGGGGCCTAATGCATGAGATATTGTAATTCTTACCAATGAGGCCCTACCGATTAGTATTACACAGAGTTGATTTTGAAATGGGAACAAATAGAAAACTTCTTTTTCTATAATCACACCTCATTACTTTTTCACTAACATGGTAGAACTTTGACGTACATGAACTTGGCCAAAATGAGCTTTAAGGTTTATATAGGTTCTAATGCAATGCTGATTTTTTAAGATTCATTTATTAATGCCATGATTAGACATAGATATAGTCCTACACCTAGAACATATGACCAACCTAGGATAAAATCAACTTTTTGCACTCTCAGGATAGACCAAGAGGTATATGTACATAGTGGTTTGATGGCTAGTAGTGATAAACCTAAGGAGAATAATACTTTACTGTGCTTGAGAGAATGTTACTTTACTGTTCTGGGGAGAATAATAAAGTCCGGTTAATCTTCAGTCTGTCAGGATGATGCAGTCAAAAGCCTTTCAAACAATTATGAAGCTGCTAGTAATGAACTAAACCTCGTGAAACAACGGAATTTAGAACTTGATTTGGAAAACAGCAAGGTTTGTTTATGCAGTCCTTAATTTTCATTTCATATTAGGTAATTTTAAAATTTGAATTTATGAGATGAAGAACTATCCAATAGATATTACTCGAACTGCTTAATAAAGCCATTGCGAGAATCAATTTTTTTTTGCTCTTAAGCTCGAATTTCTTTTATATCACCTTCACCAGCTCTTAAGCTTAAAGTTGTTCGTGCTGTTTCACATTGAAAACAGAGAATTTTTAAACATTATTGAATAATGGGGTGTATTTCCATCATTTGCAATGGAGCCAAAGATTCATTATTTTTTGGCTTGATATTATGATGGAATAAAGCAAAATGGCTCACTAAACTGTCTGCGCTTCTTTGTAATGAAGCAGCAGTCAGTCCATGCAATTTTGGACGCGATTTTCACTATGGGTCATCCGGAAACAGTCTCTCTGTGCTTTAGTATAGGGTTAAGACTGCGTACATCCACCCCCCTTACCCCACCGTAGGTGGGAGCCTTTGCGGCACTGGGGTAAATGAAAATGATTGAATAATGGGGTGATAAATTCGCATTCTACAGTACACACATTTCCACGAAGTAGTTGTGCGTTCATTAGTTTTCTGGGTTCATGCTGAGTGCTTGTCCTTAGCCCTTGGGTCATAGGGCACATGGAACTATGGAAGTTTCCCATTGAATAACACAATGTATAATCCAAAGATAGATAGAATGTTACCTACACATTTTCATTAAACAAATACGGAGTATAGTATTACATCTAAATATGAACGAAAAGTGACCATTTAATAATTGGATGTGCTAAAATGCCCTTAGTATCAATTTAGGCAAAAAAATAGTAGTTTACTAACTTCTAACCTATGATTGTGTTTGGTAAGTGGTAACACTACAATTATGGTTTCACATACCAAATAATATACTTTTTCCATCCTTTGCAATGGAGCCAAAGATTCACTATCTTTTGGCTTGAGAATATGATGGAATAAAGCAAAATGGCTCACTAAACTGTCTGCGCTTCTTTGTTACTCCCTCTGTCCCTAATAACTTTGCCAAGTTTGACCGGCACGGGGATTAATAAAGTAAAAACTGTGTGGTTGAGGTTTGTGCAAAGGAGAGAGAAGTAACTGAAACCACAAATGCTTTACTTAAAGGGGAAAGTGGCAAAGTTAATGAGACATCCAAAAAAGAAAAGTTGACAAAGTTATAAGGGACGGAGGGAGTATGAAACAGCAGTCAGTCCATGCAATTTTGGACGCGATTTTCAGTATGGATCATCCGGAAACAGTCTCTTTGTGCTTTAGGATAGGGGTAAGACTGCGTACATCTGACCCCCCTTACCCCCATCGTAGGTGGGAGCCTTTGCGGCACTGGGGTAAATGATAATGATAATGACACCAAATAATATACTAATTAAAATAAGTCACGCTACATGTGCCTTTTTGTCTGAATTAGCTGAATATGCTATAGAAGACACTTAGTTTTTTCATATAATTTCATTACATTTTATTAAAAAAATATAAGTTAAATATCTCTATTTCATAATTTATCATATTCAACCAATCTAGACATAACTTTAACAATCTCACCACATTCTATATATTCAGCCCATTTAATGTTACCAAATGAGCTCTAAAAAACTTCAGTCAAATGCGCGTCAAGGAACTTGACAAGATGATATAATTAAAGCATCTTATGTGATCCTTTGGTTCTTTGAGGTGACATTTGGATATCATTTTCATTTTCATTTACCCCAGTGCCGCAAAGGCTCCCACCTACGGTGGGGTAAGGGGGGGTCGGATGTACGCAGTCTTACCCCTATACTAAAGCACAGAGAGACTGTTTCCGGATGACCCATAGTGAAAATCGCGTCCAAAATTGCATGGACTGACTGCTGCTTCATTACAAAGAAGCGCAGACAGTTTAGTGAGCCATTTTGCTTTATTCCATCATAATATCAAGCCAAAAAATAATGAATCTTGGATATATATATATATATATATATATATATATATATAATTTGGTTCAAATGAGAACATGATCTAAGGAGAGAGATGAGAATGATTATGGAACGTTGGATTTGGATATTGTGTATTTGTGTATTATGTAAAATAGAAATGTGCACTATCATAAATTAAAAAATGTGCATTTCAAGTGTGCATCATTTTAACCCCAAATATGCACATTTGAACTTTGCATTACTTTAACTATAAATGTTCACTTCTGTGAACCATAATGTGCATCATTTTGGATCATTCTCATTTCTCATGGGACGAAGTGTTCTCACTAGGACCGTATATATATATATATATGCATATACATATAGCTCATTTCATAGGTATGAACAGTTTGAAGTTAGTAACTTAGTATTAATTGCATTTTCTCTAAATCTGTTTGCTTATTGCAGTTGACACAATCTGTAGAGATCATGAAGAAGAAGATAAATGATTTTAAGGTCCGTTTTGAACTCATGACCAAGTAGGGATGTTTAGCTGAATCTTCCAAGACCACTTTCTCTTTGATTTATTTACATAATGTGTATTCTTATGGCACAGTGTGAAGGATATAAATTGGATGGTGTGGCAACCTTTTCAATATAAATTAGATTGCCACTCCCAGAGTCGTATTTTGAATGCTACTTCCTTTTCATTTCCATCTGGAATTAGGACAGTTACAATTATCTATATGAATCTTATTAGCACATAATAAGTGCACATCCCCTAGTGGGACATTTGAAGAAGCATTTGGGATTAAATTCTTTATTACGTAGTATGTTGTAAATGAAAAAAAGTAAAACCCCTCTTCTTGAATCACCTGAAACTATGTTGCTATAATGATGGGTTGGTGATTACAGCCAGAACTGAGGGAAATGGATATAAAGTTTTTGGAAAAGGAGCTTCTAGCACTTTTAGCAGATAAGGCTGAACTAGCCGAGTTTATGCAGTCTTTACAACTTCAGATAGTGAAATTGAAGGTAGACATTTTGTCCAGCATTTCGTTTGCACTTTTAATGCATTAATGTCAAATGATCAGCATAGGTGGACTTCTAACTAGAATTACTTTTTGATATCCAAATAGAACATATGATCGTAATGCGTGAAACAAGAAAATCTGAATTTCAAACATCTCAGGGAATTTCACATACTATCAACTGTTCATGTGGAGAGAAGTACGAGATAGAGTTGAACTCTTGTGCTGGATGAGAAAAGTACTGAAGAAAACATTACTGTAAATCATATGCACTTTCCTGCTGGGTTATGTCAGACTGACCATGCTTTCTCTCAATACAAGTAACTCATCGTGACGATTTGAAATAAAAGGATATGTTTGCCTCTGTTGTGTATACGTTTGTGAGTATCATGTGTGCTTGTGTGAGTTGTGTTGTGTCTGAATATTTGTTTCTGAAAAGAAAGAGCCCAAACCCAAAGCCATATTTTGTTTCTTACTTTGATGTATCCCAAGTATTGCTTCAATATATGCACTGGAAATGCAAAAAAATAGTTATTGCAATATGTGATTACTATGTGTTGTAGTCATACGCTTGATGAGCTTGTATACCTTTATTTTTTAGACACACTTGTATACCATTATATATGTATATGAAAACAGTATCAATTTAGGTGCAAATTCTAATCCCCTTCAATATTTTATTACCCTTTTTGTAAAAGGTAATAAAATAAATACTTCACATGCTTCCTAGCTTCTCCAATGCTGTGCAGATAACATGTGCTTCATAACTCTCAGCTATGGTTGTGCTTGTGTTGTTTTGGGATGTTACATCTTTCCATTTGATGCTATCTTCATCGTGAAGAAGCTTATGACTGCCACATTCCACACAATCTTGTAGAATAATAATCTTGTGAAGGCCCATGAGCAGGTCTGCATAGTCAGTGTCCCCGCTTTCCCCCACAAAGACTGTTATTCTGGAAAGATCTATCCCCCATCTAATAGAAAGGTACCTATAAAAGGACCAAATATAAATACTGCTTATTAGTTCCATATAGTTCCTCTACCTCTTTTATTAGGAGTATATATATTAGTAAAGAGATGGATACCTGATTGCTTGAGATCTTGATGCATATAATGGAATCACATTCAACCTTAACCCAGCATGTGTATATACAGTGTTGCAACGAAATCCTCTCATGCGTAGCCTTTGTTTAAGGTCATTCACTCTCCGAGTCTAGATGGAAATATATCATCCAAAATGAGTAAGTATAAAGTTGTTAATTTGTTAAACTTGATGGGCTTAATATATCACCTTGGTTCCCGCTTTAATGCTATAAGTGTAGCATCGGGAGCTGCTTGGGCTAATGCAAGTCATGTCATCACTATCAGTACCGCTGGCATCTACTTTGGCCAGCCTTGTCATGACTGATTTTGCATTCTCACATGGCCACCGATACTCAATATGCATTTCGTAGTCTTCATCGAGTACCATATCCCTCCATGGATAGTACATTTCACTCCCACTGTTGCAAGCAATTGCATCAAAATCTTCCAGATTTGCTTGGCTATTCTTTATTGCTTCTTTCATCTCATGGAGACTCATTCCTGTCATTAGTACTAAACCTGTTTGGCTGGATTTTGAACCTCTAATTTGGTTCACATTGTTGATGATTAGAGATAATATCTCTGTAGCATTTCCCATGTTGTCATAACAATCTGCTGCCACTACATATAGTGCTTGCCTTCTTCCCGGGAAATAGTTAATGGATAATTTGGGATTCAAAGATGGCTTCCGTGTTAGTACATTGATAAGTTCTTGCTTTCTGTTATCCACATCAACATCTCTGTTAAGTTTAAGGTCTGCATCAATGGAGAACTCAAGAGAAAAGTCTTCAATGCCACATATTGATTCAGTCATTGGTTCTTCAGTAGCTGGCACTATAACTTCAAGAAAATTTGCAGGGTGGCGTTTTCTGCAATGCTCGACGTGGGATAAATAGTTAAGGCAATGATCTAGCCAGGAGAAGCGACTGATGTTTTTTAGACCATTCTTACGGCACTCAAGCCAGAGGGCTTTATCAACAACAAGCTTTAGAAGAGCATCTGATATTCCTTGTTGGTCATGTGGATCAACAAGCAACCCATTGTTAAGCTCCTAATTTACAATTTCACCCATTAAATAAAGTGTTTTTCTAGTCATTCAGATATGATCTAAATTTTGGCATATATTTTACCTTGACTATATCAACAGGCCCTCCATTTTTTGTTGCAACTACTGGTAATCCATAAGCTGCAGCCTGCAGGAGAGAGAGTTCTATGAATTTACAGGGTAGATAAAGACAAACCAGAATCTCCCATATGGTTCATCAAAGGTTATTACCTCAATAAGAGTGAGACCAAATGGCTCAACAAGAGCTGGATTGATGAAAACTCCCTTCAAGAACAGATAGTTTTTCCAAAGAGCTGTTATTTGTTAGGGGTCTTGAATCTTGATTAAAGAAAAGCACGATAGCAGGAATTTTTCTCCGCAGGGAGTCGTAGGTTTTATACAGTTACACAGTTATCAAATAAAGTATTAATCATTGTTCAACTAGCTTTTTTCAACTCGTTATGGAAAATATGTTTGTTAATAAGAGACATTGCTCATTGAAAATATAACCCAGACAACCTTAAATTGATGATTATTTTATTCAACTCAATTCAGCACACAAACTAAACAGTTTCATATAAAAATGTTACATAGTTCAGATAGTCATCTTAAATCTTAATACAAAAGGACATCTTAATCCAGACAAGACTTGATAAAAGAAATAAGTAAAAAGTCTTTTATTCTTGTCACATTGCACTCACGTTTGAAATTGGACCTTATTTTCAGTCAAATTTGAGTTTGCACTCTATTTTCAAAATTATTAGTGTTTGCACCCCAAAGTCCAAAAAATCTATAAAATGGGGTGCGAATTTTATGTTTAGAGTGCAAATACCAATTATTTTGAATATGGGGTCTAAATTCAATTTCAGCTGAAATGTTGAGGGGCAAACTTCAATTATCCCTTCATTGTAGGTTGAGTTACCTTGGTTTTTGCAGCTAGGCGATATATATCAGGAACCTCGAGTTGCTTGTGATGCTTTGGATATGCCACCTGGCCGTATAGATTGTATCTGTCAATGAGCTTAAGTACCGTAGTGAGAACAGTGGAGGTGTTACTTGACATCTCTTCTATATCATCTCTGTTGCCCAGTATAAGTGTCTGCATTAAATATTCAAGTGTTTCATGCTCAATGGTGTGCTCGACAAAACATATGCTCCCCCGTCTCACTAGACTTTGCCTACTTTCCTTTTTTGTTTGTCTAAAAAACTTTGTCGCTTTCCTTTTGAAGTAATGAGTTTGTAGTTCAACTTATTCCTCTCTTCTTTTTAAACCTCAATCACACAATTTTTACTTTTCTTATTTCACACCCAACATAAAGTTGTCAATATCCCACGAGACGGAGGTAGTAGTATAAGATTTTGCATTTATGTATTACCATATTGGCTAGTTCTTGAAGGGCTCGGCATTCTCCATAAGCCTTGAGCAGAGTCATAACGTTCTTCTTAGGATCAGGACGGGACAATGCAAGTATCATTGGCTTGTATGGGTTTGTGAAGAATTTCAAAATCTGCATTAATCTTAAGTTTGAGCACAGTATAATTTGCATCTTTCTATTGCTTCTCTTACTAGTATGGAATATCATTTTTCAGTTTTTTCTCATCTACCTGAACGGATTGAACAACATAATGACAAACCTCTGCCCATATGTGAGGGATAGGATTCTTTTGGATCTTGCCAGTTCCACTAAAACTCTTGAGGTCTGCTTCACCGTCTACGAGATCTTGTGCTTTAACACTGCTGAAATTCATCCCCGGGTGTATAACCTGATTTGCATCATATAACGAGTCTAGTTTATTTTCAAAGTTTAACATTCATTTATAATCCATCAAAAACTAAATCTGGACTTTTACTAGTGAAAATGATGATTACGCTTTTACCACCATCCTAGGCATGTATCGCCCAAGGCAACTAACTCCCCTCTGTCTCCTAATCCTAAGTTTCCTCTCCAATTGTACGTCAAAACCATCATACAAACCCCATTGCTCTTCAATCTCCTGCCTTGTGCTGGTGACCACCATTTCTGCAGAATCCAGTGCCAACTCCTCAGCTTCAATCCTTCTTATAATTTTATATGTGGCATTTATATCCTCTGTGAGCATCCCCTGTTTAAGCAATTGCTCAAACTTGTTTCTGCCTAGTGAGTGACCTGTAAATACCATAGGTACATTTAAGGTTCCTGATATGCGTGCTGCTACCTCTCCTGCATCAGCGTAATGTCCATGGATAACATAAGGCCACACAGGTTTCCCTTCATTTCCTTGTTCTGCTGCTAAAGCTCTTGACATATTGACTATGTGACCCAAAGCCCCATCTGTGAACTCTGGTATATACGGCCAGAGCGATTCTTTTGGTATGTATCTGCATAAGAAAATGTTAAAAAGCTGGTTACATAAATGTTTTTATCAGCAGCTTCCATGCGTGTAGATTGGGGTGGGGATGTAGCTAGCTCCAACCCACCCCAAATCAGTTCAATTGTGCATATGCATGTATAATTTAGAGAACTTACAATGCAAAGTTTTGTGTGTAACACTAGTTGAAACGAGAACCTTCTCACCCAAATATGGTCCCCTTCTGATTGTACTCACGCACATTTGGTTATAACAAAAAAAGATATAAATGGATCTCTAATATGAAAATTTGAATTTTTATAAATTTAACATCAAGATTTATATGAAAGAGTTGTTTATATGTTTTTTTCCTAGTGTATTCCATCCGGGTATAACTGTGCTAGTTTGAAAATGTTATACTCTGTACAAATTTATTCAAGCTTGATGAGGAATCAATAACATTTATGATGTTTTGATGTATTACTTTTCACGTGGCCCACAGGGGATTCGGATTATATAGGCACCACAATTTCCAAAACCATCATGAGATGGGAAGGACAACATCTCAGTTGGCTCACCATAGCTAGAGTCAACCTCTGGACAAGTTATTTGCCGAGTTAGAAGATCAACGCGATTCACCCCATTCATGATGGAGAGTGCCTTGGCAAGTTCTACGACGTATTTCACCTGAGAGCATAAATGAACTCTATGGTTAGTGAAATCACAGTCAACCTTTCTGATGAGCGTATTTCTGGTTATCTTTTCCGACTCGCATATTTGAATCAGTTTAACATTTCTCTACCTGACCACCAGTATCAGAATCTCGTCCATGTTCCATGTTTTCTCCACGAATCAACCCATGAATACTGCACAAATAAAGCGTAAACATCCCATGTAACTAGCACTTCCATGGAATACCTGCCTCTTATGCTAATTTTATACCCCACCCGGCCACCCCTCTCCCCTTTATGTTTCCCACTTCAATGTTTTTCCTTGAAGATGACCTTATAGCTAACAGGAACTTTAGTTACCTGATCAGAACAATGTAGAGCTGTCTCGGTTTATCTTCATCACACCATATTTGTGCATCTGAGTTAATTCTTGGCATAAGAGAGAGAGAATCTGTTTTACTGATGACTTCCCCTTTCCCCTTCTCGCCTTCTGAGAGATCAGAAAGATCCTCTGCCGAATCTATATGAACCTTTTTATCCAGCTCACACGTCCTTTTCACCAACAACCTTTGTGCATCCTCCCAATCTCTCTGCATCCATCAGTCATTGAATCATTTCCTGAGACTAACTGAACATTCAATTTCAATAATTGGGTATGTCCTAGTTAGATAAGTGTGTGCGCTTCTTTCAATTTTTAGTGAAAATAGTTACAAGTTGCTTAGTCCATACTCCGTACATCATCCTCCACCACAAACCAGCCCCAACAACTATGTTGAAGTCGGTGAAGTGTGTAGCTTTAATTTCTGACTATGCAGGGGTGTTCATTAGTAGCCTAGTGTCACATATTAATATTGTAAACATTACAATATAATATTGAACAAGTGAAAACATATTAAAATTTTAAAACATGTCAAGACATTGAGCAGATTCAACTATGTGTAGCTAAACAACCCTTACCAAAAAAGATGAGTGTAATTCACAAGTTAATATAACAGAGAGACCATACCTGCTTCTTCTTGCGGGCGAGATGCCAAATCCGCCAGCACATATTCTCTAGCCTGTTATTGCGCTCACGAGAATTCCTTGTTGCTACAACCTGCAAGCCCATCATATATTCAGATGTATATATATCCACATGCATCAGTTCACTGAATATTTATCAGCTCTCTTGCATGGTGGTTAGATGTCTTGATGAAGTACATACTCGATCTTGGGTTGTAAGAAAGCAGTAGTTCCACGCACCTTAATCCATGTCCTATAGAGGTCGGTCTCATCGCATCTATTAACAACCTCTTCAACAAAATACTGGGTCGGGCTAAACGTCTTCCCTAGTTCTTTCCCATCGCGATGAACTTGGAGAAGCTTTTCAGATGTGAAAAATATGTCTTCATCAAACTTGCTGAATGTTGTTTGCTTGAGGCTTTCCATCATCCGGTTCCTCCCCTCTCTGCCACTTTTGTTCCTCCCCACGTCCAGAATGGCCTCCAAGTACCCATTTAGCCACTCGTTTTCTGCCATTTCCCTTTTCTGTGTATTGGCAAGAAAAATGAAGGGAAGTAAAAATACTCCGCAAGTGAGAATGTTCAAGTTTACACAAGTTGTAGTTCGAAACCTAGTTGGAGTGGAGAAGCTTGGCGCCTTTTATAAGAGTGGAATGTATTATAATAACGCGCGGAATGTTCCGCAATATATTCCGTACGGTTTCAACGGTTGTTTTATGTTCTATTTTGTGTGGTTCATGCGGCCAGCATCATCACATATTCCCCGGCCCCCAATATATTCGATCCATCTAGCTGAGTTAGTGTAGTCGGCCAAAATTGCAGTTTTTGATGCTTCAATTATACTCCCTCCGTCCCATAAAATAAGTCTCACTTTCTTTTTTAGGCCGTCCCAGAAAATTTTTCCCATTTTCTTTTTTGGAAAGTTTTGTGTGACTATAATTCATTTACCTTTTTCTTATTCAACCACAACCATACATTTCCACTTTATTTCCACTTTCTTAAACTTCGATCCAAATTGAAATGAGACTTATTTTATGGGACGGAGGTAGTATGCTGATCAGCCAAAAGTTATAAATATGTGAACAAAGTAGGTCTAGGATAGGATAGGTTCGGTTCTTATCCAAAACTGGTGGAACCGTTTAAAAATATGTGACTTAAAATCAGTTTGATTCTAGTAAAAAAAAAATTGTAGAAACATTAAGAAGCCGAATCTGATTCAAACGGTTTGGTTCCTACTTTTTTATTAGTTCCTAAAAATATGACAATCCTTCAATATCATACATCTTCGTTCAGCGTTACAATTACATGAAATGTCAATGTTCAAAACGTCAGCGTTCAGCGCAGCTGAAAACTTAACAAAATAATCAGTTTGTTCAAAACATAATTACAATATCTAATAGGATTCTAATGAATCAATAAGGATGGTTTTAGATGCCCAATGTAACCACAATTGTTATCCAACTTCAAGTAACTCAAATTTGAAAAATATATATTAAATTGACAATAAATGAAAGAGTGGTAGTAAGATGATGATAATTGACTATGTCACAATGCTATGTTTCGTTTTATGTGAATATGCTTGTATGCTAGTTTATGTGTTGTTCTAAATGCTTTTGTAGTGTGCTAGTCCTATTTTTTATTAAGTCGAAAGCAATTTGAGTAGAGCAATACTTATAAGTAGATATTTGAGTTATGGCCAATTTGTACCTCCACTTCATTTTCATTCTCTCATCAAATTAAGGCTTACTTTCTATGTCTTAGTCTACACAAGATCTCTTTTTCCCTCTGTTTTAACTTTACCTTTGGGTGCTCATTTGGCAGAATTTGCATCTATTTGATCTGCAATAAACTCATTATAACAATAATCATCAAATTAGTCAATGGAAAAGAATGAGGTGCAACAATAATTAAACCTTTGGTGGTTCTTTTAATAAAATATCCATTGTTAAACTGTGTAATGGTTTTAATGTTGAAATATAAAAACTCTCACTATCAAGTACATAGCAATATAAAATGTCTCCATCACATTAGTTAGGCAGTTACTTCAGAAGTGAACACGTCTATATTGAGCTCTAAATGCTCACATTTTTTTTCGGGGGTCTGGGGGAGGGGCTGGAGGGACCTAGAATAATCTGGGCTGAAACTCACTCCATTGAATTTCAAACCCTTGTGTGCTCTAAATGCTCACATACTCAGTCATTTGATTTATAATAAAACTATTACAATTACACATTACAAGCATTAACATTAAATATCAAAATGGTCACCTAAAAGCTGAATATTTTGAGAGATGAATGCATGAACAAAAGTTAAAGATAAGTTAAAGATTCATAGCCCCGTTACTTTACAAAACCTCTTTAATTATACTATGATTTAGTTCGGACGAAAACTTATGGCATGTTTACTAACAGAGATATTTTCCAGTTTTTCAGAAAAATGGAAAACTAGAAAACATAAAACAGGAAACATGTTTACCAAAGAAAATGGCTGGAAAACTGGAGAAAGGAAAAAAGAAAAACGCGTTTACCAAACCGTTTTCCAAAACGAAAAAAAATGAGACATGTCTCTCTTTTCCTTAATGATTTGGAGAAAGTGACTTTTAGTAGTTTTCCAGATATGGAAAACGCAGATGCTACAATCCGTTGCAATGAATTTGCATACTTACACCTAGTGGTGGGTCCGGTCCCGCTCCGATTTCGATTCCTTTCTAGTACATCCATCCTCATACCTTACCCCTTACCCCTTACCCCTACCCTACCCACCCAACCCCACCGCGCATACCCCTTTTCCCTATAATGACCCTATCCCCACCCCTTACCACATGCCCCTACCTCGGTCCCACCCCGATCCACCCTACCCTACCGCCACCCCTACCACCTCAACCCCACCCCGACCCACCCTAACCCTACCACCACCTCGTATATTACCCCTTACCCCTACCTTACCCCATCCCGCATGCCCCTACCTCAGCCCCATCCTACCGCCATCCTACCCCCACCCTACCCCTTCCCCTACCTCGGCCCCACCCTACCGCCATCCTATTCCAACTCCCTACCCTACCCCTACCTTACCCCAACCCCAACCCTACTCACTACCCCACCCTTAACCCTAAGCACCACCCTAACCCACCCACTACCCCACCAACCCTGTACCCCTAGACCTTACCATCCCACCCCTGACCATACCCCTTACCCAACCCCCAACCCCACCCACCCCCACCCATACCTGCCTTCCCTAGCCCGACCCCTACGAGTAGGTATGGGTGGGTATGAAGGGTTTTAGAGGAGTATGGGTAGAGTGTAAGATCGTGGTAAAGGTAGGGGTAGGGTCAAGGGTGTGGAATTGGGTGTAAGGTGTAGGGTGGGGGTACGAGGTATAGGGGCAGGGTAGGGGTTATGAGTATGGGTACACGTACGAGGTGATCGACCCCACATATTATATTATATATTTGTGTTCATGAATGTTTGTGTGTCAATATATGTATAGGGTTATTTTGGACATTTTAATGTTAAACGGTGTTTTAAACGTTTTGAAGTAAACATGATCTTATAACATTGCTTATTTTATGTGTAGCTTATTAACGCGAGTCTTAATAAGCACCATTTAGTAACTCGTGAAATAAACGTGTCATTCTTCTGGATGATCTCAGAATTGGGTGAAAAAATTGATGAACAATTGAACATGTTTTCAGATTTGAAAATGAAAAACTAGAAAATAGAAACAGACAACTGGAGATAGAAAAATTGAAAAATAAAAACAGAAAATTGAAGAACGAAAAACAGAAGTAGAAAACAGGAAAATATCTCAATTCGTAAACATGCCCTTAGTTTGCCAAATTTTACAAAACTTAGATCAAAAAATTTCTGTGAAGGGCACTATCTGATTTTAAATTAAGGGTTTTATAGTAAAAACATATGCACTTTTGTCCTAAGCCAACTTGTACTCTTGTAGTCTTAGGGGAGAAAATCAAATTGGACACTATATTTACATGTAAATTTCGTATTGGACGTTAAGGTTTCAAGTTGATCAAATTGGACACTGATTACATCTAAATCTCATATTGGTCATTAAAGTTTTATTATTAAAATTGTTAGTCTTATTTCTCCTTTCCTTTTTTGATGTCAATAAACTAACTTAATTGATGTATAAGTTTTAGAATACTTAAATCGGGGTTTTAGAATATGTAACTTGATTTTAATTAAGAACTTAAATTTAAGAAGTAAAAAATATATTTTAGACTTTTTGTTCATACGATATTTATGGAACTTTGAAAAATATATTTTAGACTTTTTCTTCTTTGGACGCGGAGATTCAGGCCATTTTCTTGGCTACGAGGTGGGCTGTGGACGGTGGATACGAGGACTTCCAGGTTGAATCGGATTCTATGTTAGCTTTGGAGTATATTTCAGGTAAGGAAGGAAGGAGATGGTTCGTACAGCTTCAGGAAATCAAGCAGATGCGGATTAGGAAACGTCTGATTTTTGGGCATGTAAGGCGAGAAGGAAACTGGGCTGCGCATGTTTTGGCCCAAGAGAAGGTGGATCGCGTGATTAGGGGTGGATCGGTTCCGGTTCGGGCCTGGGCCCGGCCGGGCCTCGGTTCAAGAAGGGGAGGCCCGGAACCAGCCCGGGTAACCCCCGGGTCCGGGCCGGGCCGGGCCTCGGTTCTATTTTTTTTTATAGGCTTTTCCTAGTTAACCCCCAACCCTCCCCCACACCCCCAAACCAACCCTAACCACCTCAAATGGCCCAAAATGCCCAGTTCAACCCAAAAACTTAAAAAAAAATCAAAAAAAAAATTGGCCCGGCCCAGACCCGAACCGGCCGGGCCGGTTCACCTTTTGAAGGGCCCGAGCCCGAACCGCCATCCCACCGGGCCGGTTGGCCCGAACCGGGTCGGTTGGCCTGAACCGGGCCGGTTGGCCCGAACCGGGCCCGGAACCGGTTTACCGGACCCGGAACCGGTTTACCGGTCCGGGCCGGGGCCGGGGCCGGGGCCGCACAGTAACGGGCCGGGCCGGTTCTGGGCCGGTTGGCCCGGCCCGAGTCCACCCCTACTCGTGATGACGTATTCCAGAGTTGATACTCTTCCTATTTTTGTTAAAAGATGTTTTTGGATGGATTTTTTTGGTATCCCTTCATTTAGAGCTTAATTGTTTCACTTTTTATTCAGGTTTGGTTTGGTCCCCCCGAAATTTGTATTTCATATATTTTCAATAATAATTTGGTAAATGTCCCCCGACATTTACCCCACTGATTTTGGTGGTTTGCCTTCCGGGGTAAAAAAAAACTTTGAAAAATATAAATTGTTAAATTAGTTTAACAAAAAATATAGAATTCAATTATCTTAGAGAAATTTCCCAAAATAGGAGCAAATGAGATTTGGAATTCCAAAACAGGACTAGTATGTTTTATTCCCGAAATAGGAGTTATTACTGTCATGTATGAAAAATATTGGCATGATTTAAAAATACTTTCATTAATTATAATAAATATTACTCCCTCTGTCCCGCTATGATTGTCCCATTTTACCTTTTCGGGAAGTCCCACTAAGATTGTCTCATACCAAATTTGGTAAAGTTTGTGTGGCTCTAATTCATTCTTACTTTATTTTTACTTTATCAATTTTATATCAACCACACAAAACCACTTTTCTTAATAATCGTGCCACCTTTTCTTGTCCCAATCTTAGTGGGACGGAGGTAGTATCATTTTAAATGCACTATACTGCAACTATTTGGAATTCCAAAACAGGACTAGTATGTTTTATTTCCCAAGATTTTAAGTATCGGTGACTGAAATTATTTTGAATTATCAATTGTACGAGCCTAAATTAGTGATTTTTACCAAATGTATTTAATGTTTAAAATAATTACTCAATATAGTAATCCAAAATTAGAATAACTATTCCAAAAATATTATATAAAGAGGCTTAATTACCAAGTGTATATATAATTATTATACAAAATATATCTATACAACATACACAAGAGCCACGATAACTGGCTCGCGAGCCACGAACCTAAAATAAAGAGGCTTGACTCGAGCTTGTTTAGTATACGAGTTGAACCGATCTTGAGCTGAACTTGGATATGACCAAACTTGAGTCTACCTTTTCTCGAGCGATCCATGAGCGGCTCGCGAACGACTTGGCTCATTTGCACCCCTAGATATAAAGAAAGCTAGTTAATTGAGGTTTGTGCAACAACAGGAGTTGATTTACTTTTTTCATAAGATTAGCAAATGTAGATTTGAAAATCGATTTTCCTTTAGATGAAGAAGCAGTTCATTTCGGGGGAGGGGGTGCTTTAGCATAATGTGCATGAAACTTATTAAATAATTGACGAAGTAAGTCACTAACCTCGTTGTATTGCTCTTTAGGATCTATGTGCTTATGTTCGTACATAGGTAATGGACCGAAAAAACAAGTATAATAGTCCCCTCGATATTTGTGTTTCACCCCCTAGCCTTTTTGTTTCGCATACTCCACGAGGTGACGGGTCTTCACATACCTATGAGCACCGCCGTATTCTTACGAAATCCCCAACCTTATGTTTGTGTTACAATGGTTGCAAGTTGCCCACCACTTCTCGATATTCGTTGTTGGGTGAATTTTGGAAAAATAAGAAATTAATTAATTTAATTAACTAAAATAGCCAAGAAAACAGAAACAAGAAGGGACAGGTAGTCAAACCTTGTGCAACACACAATTTCCTTAAAATATATTCGACTATTCGCTACCTCCCACGGTGCTAGGAGCGTTGCCGACACTTTCCCAGGATACGGTGGCTCCGAACAACCGTTTGAGCACACAATCAGTTGTTCCGGTGAACAGAAACAGAGTATGAACACAAAGGAAATTTTCAGAGAGTTGAAGATGTTTTTAGCTGAGAAAGTACGTGCAAATTGTGTTCTGTTTCATGTTTTGTTGTAAACCACCTGCCAACTATATATAGGGCAGAAGTGTTGTGTGTTAACTCAACTTTAATGGACCTGAACGTTGAGCATAAATGACCAGGACATTGGGCATTAACATGTCAAAAAATTGTCTATTTAAAGATGCATTAAAGGAGAAGAACGTTGAACAATAAAGACTGTAACAGTTCAGAATCGTTCTGGTGCGCGACCAGAAAAGAGGCGCTCTTCTGTCAGTCTGCTAATTCTGGAAAAAAATAGGAACGTTATGGAAAGAAACAAAAATTAAATCATATCTTTGAATGAGATTTTTGGAAGTACGTGCAAACTGTGTTCAGTTTCATGTTTTATTGAAAACCACCTGCCAACTATATATAGGGACGGACGTGTTGTGTGTTAACTAACTAACCTTTAATCGACACTATATATAGGGACGGACGTGTTTTGTTGAAAAACACCTGCAAACATGAAACTGAACACAGTCCGCAGGTCATCGCGCACGCAAGTCACAAATTTTCTTCTCCGTTTCGGGATTGGATCGGCACTCCCCTGCACATGAAAATAACCTTCCCACATATAAATCTTAACTCCTTCAAAGAGGGTCACCTTTATAAGGGGGTAAAAATCCCTTGGGTTTTCCGGTGTGTGAAAATCACTTTTCTCAGGTTTTTCATTTCAACGAGTGAACTTCGAGAATCAATTTCTCATTCACATGTTATCCGTTTTGAATGTACCACATATCGAACTAAAGTTCTTAATAAGGGAAATCTAGAACCACTTTGACCCGACCTAAATCGGAAGTGAACCCCACTCAAAATACTGTCCCACATTGACCATTTAATGCAATTTTAACATATTTTCCCAACATTCGTTTCCTTCCCCTTTTTGAAATTATTTTCATAAGGAGAGATTCATTTTTCTTACCGGATTGGGATCAACCAGGCTCGTCCTCATCAGGCAGGCTCGTCCTCATCAGGGGTTTGCTCACTGTCTTGTTCCTCCTCGGCTGTCGCCGGCTCCTCCTCCTCCTCGTTGTCATCCTCCAACTCTTCGGTAATCTCGGGAATGTCTTGTTGTTGGTAAAACCGCTCATCCCGTTGGGCCAATAGTTGAGATAGTTGATCATCAGACATCGCATCTCTGCGGTTGTAAGTCATCTCAAAATCATCTCTCCTTTTAGAGGAAGACTCGACATGTCATTTACCTTTGTCTCACGAATTAGGATGATTCTTCGCAATCTCCTTCTTTCAGTTGATCCATCTTAAAATGTGACAAATATTAAATTCTAACAAATATGTTAATGCGAGTACAAATACAATGCAACTAATATAAAAATGTAACTAAAATTTCACTTTATGTAAGAAAATGTGATTTTAATGTACCTAAAATGTAAGTAATATGTAACAAATACTTATTTGTGAGCACAATTAAAATGTAACTTTAAAATAAAAATGTGACTTCTATAATTTAACAAAAATATTAACAAAAATGTGTAAGTAAAAATGTAAGTAATATGATAATTTAACAAAAATGTGTCTTTTATATTAAGTCTAGTTTACCCATACCAAATTTCAGATAAACATTCAATCTAGAAGGCAGACAAATAATTTTCTGAAGTATATTGCGTTGCCTACTGCACAGTTATCTTCAAAAATTCATTTGTCTGCTTTCTCGATTGAAGTTTTAGCTTAAATTTGGTATGAGTAAACTAGACTTAATGACAAAGATGCTCAAAAATGTTCATCTAAAAATTCCACCGGAAACCGCCCCAAATGGCGACCGCCGAACAGAGCCTCCCATAAAAAGGCTTATTTGCACTTTTTATGAAAGTTCAAGGGCTTATTTGGTCATTCTCCCTAGATAATAAGTATATAAGTGGATATAATAATTGTATAACTAATTTAAATAGATATAATATATATTAATAGGTGTAGAGAGAATTGGAGAAGATAAGATGATTAGAGAGTACGTGTACAAAATGTTTAGAAAATAACTGTATTTATAGATTTTTTTACCCAGAAGGCCAGAACCCCCTAGAACCCTCGGTAATTAGTAGGGAGTACTAATTACCATATTAAGTTATTAACATTTTTAGTTAAATTGAACTTGTACTTGATTAACACTATTTTCCCGAGTTTTTGTACTTGTGAATCTTAATTGCAATATAATACTCCTTCCGTCCCATTGGATTTTGCCAACTGTCCCCTTTTTTTGTTGTCTCAAAAAAAATTGTCACTTTCCTATTAACGTAACTAATTTGTGGTTATGCACATTTCTTTCTCCTCTGCACAAATCTCAACCACACGGTTTTTATGGTTCTTATTTCTCACCTACTTTGCATTTGGGGTATATTCTTTACCCCACTGCATACTAATCATTTGAAACTTTCCTCAATAGATCAACAAACATTGAATAAAAGCATATACTTGGATACACAGAACACAGAACACAACGAGCTACACATATGCACTGAAAAGGAGTACAAATCTCACGTCCCTCTTGCAAATCATTGCGATGATTAGGCCCTAGAAGCGTTAACTGATTATATATGTGTGTGTGAAGATTAGACCCTAACAAGTATTATTAGAAGATCTCACTATATCACGCAGGCATGTCTGATATCCTCTCACTTTCTGATGGAGCATCGACAATTTATCACCTGAAAACCAAGAAAAGTTGGTCAAAACAATAGCCACAAAAAGACATTGACAATTTCGTGATAAAAATGAAGACGATGACAATAATAACAATACTATTAATAAGGCACAATTGAGACGAATAATAAGAGCCCGTTCGGTGACTATGTTTTTCACCTTATCAGGCTTACCAGTCAACTTTTTATCCAAACACTTAACTTTTGATTTCCGCTGAATTGTGTAATACTGTCTCCATCCCACTAACATTGGGACAAGAGGAGTGACGTAGGGATGACAATGGGGCGGGGTTGGGGCGGGGGTTCACTCCCCCATCCCGTGTCTAAAAAATCGCCCCCACCCCTACCCATCCCCCACTACTATTTGACCCGCCCCATCCCCCGCCCTGACCCGCTAGACCCACGGGTACCCAACGGGGGGAATCATCATAAAAAGTTAACACTATTTTAAACTCAGACAATTTTTCAAAAATCAAACAGCACTTCTAGTATGTTGCTAAAAAGCCTTTTAGTTTTTAAGTGTCAATGTAATCTTACATCCCATTTCAAATCTAGAACATACTACCTCCGTCCCATAAATTTTGGCCAACTTTTCTTTTTTGGACGTCCCAAAAAACTTTGTTATTTCCATTTAAAGTAGCAAATGTGTGGCTAAAGTTATTTCTCTCTCATCTTCACAAATATCAACCACACAGTTTTTACTTTATTAATCTACGTGCAAGTCAACATTGGCCAAGTTTTATGGGACGGAGGGAGTATTATACACGTTTTGATTTAGTCATTTTATCAAACACTCTATTAGCATCAATTAGCTCTATAAATTTTCTTAAACCCTTCATTCAATCAGCCATGGTCATTTGACAGCATCTAGAACGACCTATGCTCACCAGATTTTTAAGAGTTTTAACTACAATCATAAAGAAGGCATTCATAAGTAAAGAATTAATGCACTATAATAGTAAAAAACAGAAAATATTCACACTGTTTCTGAGACGTTTAAGCTAATATCACTTTATAACTTTCCTAAATTCATTTACTTTATATTAGATAGACTCATTAGGCACAGCCCATTAGATAGGAAACAACTAAACCCATCGAGCCACCATGCTATTTTAATTACTTCATATCAGTAATTACATATTTATGACTAAAGTGAAGAATTGTTACAAAAATGTGACTAGTGACTAAAGTGGTAATGAAATTATAGTAACTTATGTTCAATTTTTAAACTTAGGTTACTATGGCACTACATTGTAGTAACTAATAGTCATATTTATGTAAAATAATTTTTATTTTAGTAATATTTTTGTATTTTTGTAAAATACTTATTATTATTATTATAAGTATTATTTTGATTATTATTATTAATTAATAATTTGTATATATACGGGGGGCAGGGCGGGGATGGGGCGGGGATGGTACAGGGGGTGCATAACCCATCACCCGCCCCATATTTAAGCGCAGAGGAAATAATTCCCCCATCCCCGTAACCGCCCCACCCCACCACCCGCCCCAACTCCCCCCATGGGGCGATTCTCCACGGGCCCCTGCCCCCATTGTCATCCTTAGGGTGACGCGGTTATTTAGAAAAGTGAGTTTATGTGGTTAATAAACCTAATATTTAATTCATAAAATTAGGAATAAGTAAAAATGATTGAGAGGCACAAAAATTTTACCAAATTTACTATGGGACAATCTTAACTTATTGGCTAAAGTTATTGTATATGACCATTTTAGCTATTTTTCATATAATTTTTTCTTTATTTTATTAATAAAATATATTTTAAACTTACGAAGTCAATTCAAGAAGATATATTGTGGTGCATGATGTTTGCCGACGATATTATATTGATTGATGAGACACAATCCGGTGCTAAAGCAAAGTTGGAAGTATGGCGACAAACATTGGAGACACACTGAGCCGAAGCAAGACTGAGTATATGGAGTGCAAGTTTGGTGAAGATAGAAGTAGTAGCAACAGTGGGATTACTCTTGATGGTAAGGAGATATTGGTGTGTGATCTGCTCCCTTACTTGGGCTCCATAATTCAGAAGGATAGTGAATTAGATGGAGATGTATGTCATAGAATCAGAGCTGGGTGGATGAAATGCAAGAGTGGTTCAGGATTTCTATGTGATCGAGGTATGCCGACTAGACTAAGGTAAATTTTACCGAACATCAATTAGACATTCATTAATGTATGACGTAGAGTGTTGGGCGGTGAAGCAATGCCACGTTCAAAAGATGAGTGTGGCAGAGATGCATATGTTAGTGTTGGATGTGTGGACATACCAGAAAAGACCACTTGAGCAATGTGATAATCAGACAAAAGGTGGGAGGAGCACCTATAGAAGATAAGATGCAGGAGTCTCGTTTGTGGTGGTTTGGACATGTGCGTAGAAGACCGAGTGATGCACCTGTTAGACGACTTGGATTAGAGGAGTCATAATTGATATGCGTCTTCTTGGGTTGGATGAGAGTATGGCTTTGGAGAGAGCAAAGTGGAGGGCGCACATCTATGTGGACGATTGATGTCTTTCCTACCTTTCCTCTTTTTTTTCTTTTATCGTCTATGTTCTTTATCTTTTTATATTCTTATTTTATTTTTATCTTCTAGCTTTTTATACTCTTATTTTTTATCTTTTATCATTCCTATATTTTTGTGTTATTGTTATCTTATATTTATTTATCTTTATTTTATTCGTTTTATCTTATTTTTTTCATGTCCGTCTTCTCTGTTTGGCATCGATATCATAGATCGATTCATGTTAGTCAACCCCAAATTTTTTTGGGATTAAGGCTTGGATGTTGTTGTAATTTTTTTCCATAAATCAACAGAATCAACCAATACGGTCACTTCAACCATAACTTCATATTTTTTTTGTTCATATACTTCACATATTCCATTTATATGTTCTACTATTAATCAATGCAGGGATTACAGTCAACTGGTCTCCCTTTTATTTTTCTACTTTCTTATCAATTTATGTCATTCAATTTTTTGTTTTCTTTATGACAGAGATTGTAATATATACAGTTTGAAATAATACTGATCAAATATTATAATGTGTGAGAATTACTTTTTACTTCAGTCAAACTTGTATAGCAATTATATTTTGGGACAAACACAGTGCTAATTTGTTATAAAGATTATTCCAAGTATGGCTAAAAACTTTTTAAATCCCTTGTACATTGATAAAATATTTGAAACTGGGATACTGGTAATCCCAGGTTTGAAGAGCTTTACAAAAATATCAAGTTAACGACAGTTACACAAAAAACACATCTACATAACGAAATGTTAACAGTGTTGAGCCGCTGACCTTTTTTTGAAGCTCTAAACGGGCTGGAATTATTATTGTAAACTTCTCTAATACGGTTGATTTTTGTAAAATGCATAAAAGTAGGGATTGTTGATGTCAGTTTTGCCTAATAATAATAATAATGATACTACTAATAATAGTAGTAATGTAAAAATTATATCTGACAGTATTTCTTAAAGTCATTGGGTGAGAAAGTTCAAGGAAGAACACTGACCTCGACATTTATTTCCTCGTTTTATCATAAACCTCAATAAACCTCTTTGGGATGCCATAATGTTCTACTAAATGTCTTGCAACATCATCAATGACACCACCTTGAATCAAAACCTCCAGTCCCTTTTTACCTAAGATCAGTGAAGGAGAGATATTATCAAAATTTAGCAAATGAGATTATTCAGCCCAATAAAAGAACCAAGAGCCATTTTAACCAACTAATCTTACAAAAAATCCTTTTTACGTATCATGGAATATGCTGCTCAGAAGGCAGAACTTAGATAGTAACCTGGGCATATGATTCAGCATAAGTGTAGAAATTTGGAAAAAGGCGCAAATGGATCGCTGAAATTTCTGCTTAATTGCAATTTTCCCTTTTAAGATTATTTACACGCAAATATGCCCTTATCATTAGTCAGTATGTGCATTTGACCCTTGATGCTTGTCCAGTTGTCCCAGGTAGAGATTGGTCCCGAAAGTTTATTTGCGTAATTGCATGCAAATATGCCCCAAACATTTGTTTGTCTGTGCGCATGACTTAAATGTTTGCCATACATATAAATTGGTTTATAAGTTTTAACTTCATATAAAGATCATAAAAAGATGATTATATAATATTCTATGCATCAAAAAAATTGCAAAAACTATAGTATTTCAATTCTTTAAATACACATAACTGTATTTTTATTTAGTATTTTTATTTAATTATTTATTTTTTATTTTAATAGACGCAGTGATCCAACATTGATTTTAATGAAAGAAATCATTTGATGTATCAGAATAGTTCCTACCTCCTTTTAAGGAGAGGTATCAGGAAATCAATGAAGAAACCCAAAGAATAAAAGAAAGGGAATACATCAGATTTGCGCAGTTATCTTCAAAAATTCATTTGACTGTCTTCCCGATTGAATTTTTAGCTGAAATTTGGTATGAGTAAACTAGACTTAATGAAGAAGATGCTCAAAAAATTTCATCAAAAAATTCCACCGTAAACCGCCCCAAATGGCGACGGCGGGGCAGAGCCTCCTATAAAAGGGCTTGTTTGCACTTTCTATGAAAGTTCGAGGGCTTATTTGATAGTTCTCCCTTATATAAATAAATCACGATTATTGTGAAATTAGGAATACTTGATGATCTTTCCATCATTTGCAATGGAGTCAAAGACTTGCTATTTTTTGGCTTGGAAATATGATGGAATAAAGCAAAATGACTCACTAAACTATCTGCGCTTCCTTCTTTGTTATGAAGCAGCAGTCAGTCCATGTAATTTTCGACACGATTTTCATTTTGGGTCATCCAGAAATAGTCTCTCTGTGGTGTAGTACAAGGGTAAGAGTGTGTACATCCGACCCCCCCTTACCCCACCATTGGTGGGAGCCTTTGTGACACTGGGGTAATGATGATGAGGAGGAGGAGGAATACTTGATGATCTATTATCTTAAACCTAATTTTCCTTTTTGTACTAGTTGTACCAGAGAATCACACCGAGGACATACTGCGAAATCTGGGACGAGCTACAATTGGGAGCAGAAATGAGTTGATATCAATCTGCCAATCAATCACCAAATCAATTACTGTTTTAGTTCCTTTTGCTTCACTAAACTTCAGGAATTTCTTTATTACCTTTTATGGTTTACTTCGGTTGTAATCTATTTAAACACTGCATTGCGACGGAAAATAGACAAGCCAGGAATTTTTTTAACAAAGAGAGTTGGGGAGCACTCAAATGAAAATATCTCATTCTCAGTTCTTACATTTTGTAGCAGTTACTTTTACTTCTCACACATGTTACATACACAATCCCAATGTAGGTAAACACCTCGTGTCCGTAGCGCCACAAAAATTCATAAGGAAAGGCCTGTTTCGTGACTCGCTACGCCCACAAACATAACATTTTTGGTTCCGTTGCAGTCTTGCAGACTTGCAGGGCATCAAGCGTGATTCAAGACTGCAATCCAAACAAATAGTGTTGAGAAAAAATCGAGTGAGCCGGGAGGAACTGCATGAAATGTTTGCATCCTTCATGCTTAACAGAAAACCATCTACACGAGTCACAGGTACCACAGCCAGCTATGTGTGACCTGTTTCTACTACCATGGATGCCACAAGAAACAACTCTGCCTAGCTAGCACTCACATCTCAAATTTGATTTTCCATTGGAAGTCTAGTCCATTTTTTAAGACTAGAGATGACAAAACGGTGAAAGATTTGATAATGGATAAAGAGTTTTGGAAGAATATTATCAATTGTTTGAGAGGCGCATATCCATTAATTAAGGTGCTATGATTAGTGGATTCAGATGAAAAGCCGACTATGGGATTTATTTATGAGGAAATGGATAAAGCGAAAGAGAATATTCAGAAGGCTTTCAAAAATACCTCGAGGAGGTAAATAAACAATGATTAATTATTTATGGTTAGTTTATGATCTATTATTCTATTAAATACATACTATAAATAACCTTAAAAAAACTAATGATTACTTTTTTAGCTACATTGGGACATCATCGACGAAAGGTGGGACAAGCAGTTGCATAGACCATTGCATGCAGTCGGATATTATCTTGATCCCATATTACATTATGGCCCTAATTTTAAGCTGATTTTGAGGTTAAGAATGAACTATATGATTGCTTACAAAGGTTGGTAGGGGATCTTGCGAAATTAGTAAGATTGATGCGCAACTTGAAGATTTTAAAGCTAAAAGAGGGGTTTTAGAAGTGTTATTGCTACACAAGAACTTAAAACAAAAACTCCAACCCAGTGGTGGGAATCCCATGGGAATCATACGGGGATGAGCATTATGAACCGCAAAAGTTTGCCATTCGAGTTTTGAGCTTGACATGTAGTTCATCCGGGTGTGAACGTAACCGGAGTGCATTCCAGATGGTGCACACGAAAAGGAGAAACCGTTTGAAGCAAAAGACGATGAATGATGTTGTGTTTGTGATGGCTAATTCAAGGTTGGGTACCACCAGGCGAAGGGAAAAGTTTATAATGTTGACGATCTAGCTTCGGATGATGAGTGGATTGTGGATAAAGATGATGATAAGATTGAGATGGATGCTAATGATGAGGAGGAGTTCATACTTGACGTTCAAGAAAATGTTCAAAACATTGGTGGTCTTGGTAATTCAACAAGTGATGATTTAGAGATTCCTCCTGTTGAAGATAAAGATGCCATGATGGATGATCTTCTTAACCCGCATGATTTTGTTTGAAGATGTCTTTTTTAATTTATCCTAAGTTTGTTATGCTAAGTGTTTTAAACTTCTAATTAGAAAATGACATTATGTTATTTTGTTATTCATATTTCAAAATTTTTAAGTTTAAATACATACATACATATATATATATATATATATTATATAGAGGTGAGATCACATACAAACTAGCTCTCCCATGCTAACCTACAAACTGTCACAAACTGTGCATCTTTACATTATTTGTATTGCATATTGAAGTTCAAAGTGTTGCATATTATTTGTTTTGCATATTGAAGTTCTAGGTGTTGCATATTATTTGTTTTGCATATTGAAGTTCTAAGTGTTGCATATTATTGAGTTTATAGATTAGTATTTTAAGCATGGTTTATATATATATAAAAGAGATCAAATATAAACCATGCTTAAAATACTAATCTATAAACTCAATAATATGCAACACTTAGAACGCCACAATTACCCTAACATGATGCACAATGAAGCTCGAGTATTGCACTTTTTCAAGTTTTTACAATATTTACCAAAATGCCACCGTGTTTATTTAATATAGGCTTAAATCGAGCAAATTGAAAATGTGCAACATAACAGCTTCATTGTGCACCACATTGATTTAAATGTGAGTATTCTCACATAAGCATCGTTCGCGCTGGAACCGGACCCCATATATATATATATATATAGAGAGAGAGGAGTATTCATGTGCATCCGGCCGCACCACAGGGGCCGTCCGGCCGACGGCTTTTGGCCGCCTTCCCGGTGAAATGTTTTGATGAAATTTTTATGGCATGTTCTTCATCAAGTCTAGTTTATGCACAAAAAAAGTCAGCTAAAAACTCAATCCAGAAGATCGTCAAATGATTTTTTGAAGTTGACTGCGTTTTTGTGTGTAATTTTGCACAGTTAACTTCAAGAAATCATTTGAAGACCTTCTGGATTGAGTTTTTAGCTGAATTGTTTTGTGGATAAACTAGACTTGATGAAGAACATGCCATAAAAATTTCATCAAAAAATTCCAACGGGAAGGCAGCCAAACGCCGTCGGACGGACGGCGCTTCTCCTGCGGACGGACGCACCAGAACAGCCCTCTCTCTCTCTCTCTCTCTCTCTCTATATATATATATATATATATATATATATATATATATTTGCTTTTAGGATCTTACGATCCGAGTTACGACCCACGAGTTACGATCTCCTCACCCCCTCCCGAACCGAGCTAGGATCTCGAGTTTAACGACCTTGGCTAACACGTTTCTTCAACATGATTTGGAGAAACAACAAAATGTCAGTGAGTTGGCGGAAGAGTACTCTTACTCCCCTATTTAAAAATAAGGGTGATGTACAAGAATGTGCCAACTATCAAGAGATTAAGCATATGAGTCACACCAAGAAACATTGGAAGCGAGTGATTAGGGACATTCACCTTCTTAGACAAGTTGTAAATAAGTATAGAGACATTAAAAATGATTTGCATTTGTTGTTCATTGACTTAGAAAACGCATGTGATAGAGTAGCTTGAGAAGTCTGTTGGTGGGCCTTATCTAGAAAATGCATATCACGTAAGTATATCAGTATCATCATAGATATGTATGAGGTTTGTACTACAAGTGTCCGTACTAGTGCAGGGAGGACTTCAAAGTTCCCTATTACTATCTGAGTGCATGATGTTTGCTGACGATATTTTATTTATTGATGAGACACATTTGATTGTTAAAGCAAAGTTGGAAGTATGATGACAAACATGGAAACCAAGGGTTTCAGACCGAGTCAAATCAAAACAGAGTATATGAAGTGCAAGTTTGGTGGAGGTAGAAGTAGCAGTAACAATGGGATTACCCTTGATGGCAAGAAGATACACGTGTATGATATGTTTCGTTACTTGGGCACCATAATTCAGAAGGATGGTGAATTAGATGGTGATGTATCCCATAGAATTAGAGTAGGGTGGACGAAATGAAAGAGTGCATCAGGATTTCTATGTGAACGAGGTATGTCGACTAGACTGAAGGGTAAATTTTATCGCAAAACAATTAGGCCTGCATTAATGTATGGCTTAGAGTGTTGAGCAATGAAACAATGTCACATTCAAATGATGGGTGGCATAGATGCGTATGTTGCATTGGATGTGTGGACTTACCAGATAAGACTACTTGAGGAATGGGATAATCAGACAAAAGGTGGGAGTGACACCTATAGAAGATAAGGTGCAGGAGTCTTGATTGCGGTGGTTGGGTCAGGTGTATAGAAGATCGAGTGATGCATTTGTTAGGCGAGTTGAGCGGTGGTGAGAAGATGTGGGGAGGAGAGGGAGAAGAAGACCCAAACATAATTGAATCAAAGGAATCAGAACTGATGTGATTCTTTTTGTGTTGGATGAGAGTAGGGTTTGGAGAGAGCAAAGTGATTGGTGTATATTCATGTGGATGATCTCTCTTTTCTCTCTCTTTTGTTTATCTTTTATCTTCTTGATCTTTCTATGTTCTTATGTTATTTCTATCTTTCACCTTTCTTTTGTTCTTTTATCTTTTCATCTTTTATCCTTCTTATATTCTTAAGTTACTTATATCTTTTATTTATCTTTATCTTATCCATTTTATCTTACCTTATCTTTTTACTTTTCTTATCTTCTCTTTTTGGTTTTGATATCATGGACCGATTCATATAAGCCGATCCCAAAATCTTTCACGAATACAGCTTGGGTGTTGTTGTCTTTAGTTAAAGTCATAGTATGTGCACAAGACTAACCGAAAAGAAAATGTTATCACTTTTTAAAGCACTTTCTAAACACAAGTAGGAGCTATCATGTGGCAGCTCCTAATGACATTGTATGCCTAGCCTTCCTTTACGGTCTAGACTCTAGACAAATAATCTTTGAAAACAACATTTATGAGCATCTGACTCTATAGTCTCTAGACTCTAGAGACTATAGTCTAGAGACTAGAGAGTCAGATGCTCACAAATAGACTCCTATTGAGCATCTGACTCTAGACTCTAGACAAATAATCTTTGAAAACATTTATGAGCATCTGACTCTATAGTCTCTAGTCTCTATTAGAGAGTCAGATGCTCACAAATATTGTTTTCAAAGATTATTTGTCTTTAAAATACCTCTAGGTCTTGTTTTGTTTGGGGACTTCAGAAGGAAAGGGAGGAAAGGAGTGCTTACTGTTTTACTAAATTATCTTTATATGTTACATTTAGACTAGAAAAGTTAATTTGATTAGTTAGATCAAATATTTCTATATTGTTTTTAATTTCACTTTACTGTCAACCATCTAAATGTGGAAATAATTTACAAAAAGATTCTGAATTTTTTTATCAAAGACTACTTCCCTCCCCTCCAAAATCCCAAACCAAACAAGCCCTTAAGGATTACTTTATGAGGGCAACAATGAAGCACATGTTCATCACATGTTTGCACTTTAAAAAATCTTTAACGGGCAATTTGCATGGGAAGGAACACTTGAGCCATATTGACATGTTCCCTTGCAGATATACACATGATTTAAGAAACAATAAAATGGAAGCAGAGAACTCTTGTAAAGAGGACATAAACCCATAAAAAACATAAACCTTAAATGTCAATCAGAACGATATTCGTGTATGGACACATGGAACATTGTCTTGGGAAGTATAATACCTGGAAGTTCTGTCACTGAGGTGCTACAAGCAAATTTCTTTTGTAACTCTGAAGCCAATACCTCACCGTCAACTAAAAAAGTTTCCAACCCAGAAAGCTTAGTCACTTTCTTGTTGCCTTGTCTCCTTTCTGTTAATATCTGAATAGGCTTCAAAGCACCTTTGCGAATAGCTATGTCATTTCCTCTTGTAACTCTATGATGGGCTTGCATCCGGTTAACAAAAGTTGACCCTAAATCCTTCTTATGAATTTCAGTTGGATAAGTTGATCCCTTTTTTATTGCTCCCTTAAATAGTGCATCACATAGAATTGCGTCCAGGATGACAAAAGACTTGTTTGTTGCTTTAACGAGTTTCTCTTTCTCAACATACTGGAAAACTATTTCAGTAGCTTCTGAGGCAGTGAACAGTTTATCAAGATTTACTCCTACAGCGGCAAAAATTTGATTCACATGAGCACTTGGTTTATAAATTTCAGTTACTTCTAGTAGTTTTGGAGACTGATCTTCATTAGAAGACTCATCCCCAGATTTCCCAGCCTTTTCGGCCTTCTTCTTCTCTGGCGTGAAGGACAGATACTCTGGATGATTCCGATTAACTGAAAGCAGATTTACCTCTTTCTTGTGTTTATCTTCTTTTACTGAGATCTGGCAGTGCAAAAAGAAGTTCTTATCAATTATACATAAGGTCATGAGAAGCAGAAGTGTGTTTTGCTTTCATCAATTGAGATTACATTACACGTCTCCAAAATTTTTCACACATAAACGATACTGTTAAAGATAATGGCAATTAATAGCAAAAGAACACGAGTAACCAGGAGTCATAAAAAATCAAGAAGAATGGAATTGTTCCATCATAAATGTCATTTTTTCTAAAAACTTCCAACTCTATCCAGACAGCAATACAGAACAATTAAGAGGATACATAGTTATCGAAGGCCTGGATAATCTTACCAATCCTACAGAAGCTTTAGCTTGTAGCCACTTAGATAGTTTCTTGTAAGAAGACTTTTTTATGTCTAATAATATGCCATTAGGCCTGCATGGAAGAACGTGACTTGACCTGTACCAGAGAAGATATTAGAGAAGCCATCAAATATATCATAAGTAAGCTTGAAGTGAAAGTCTTTTGCGCTAGATAGATAAGGACCTACTAAGTAAAATGAAAAGCACAGTGAACACTTTGGACCAGCTTGTTGCAAAATATATAGCTCTTGCATAATCAGACATTATTAGAAATTAATGTAAATAAAAGACACACAGGACCATGCCATGCCATAAGCCACAATCTACACCTCAATTTGGTTCTCACCTATGGCTGGGGACAGAGCTTTTAGTTCAACTGTTTAACCAACAGATAAAGATAAGACGACACTTTGGTAAGAGGTCATGTATTATTCCTACTTTTTCAGTATTACTTCTAAATAAGACCGACATAGGTCTGAACTGACAATGTAGTACCTTCTTCAGGACAACTTATGAGTTATGAAAGGGAGTGAAAGACAAAGTTCAACAGCAACACAATTGCCAACAAATATTCTGTACTTATCGTGGGAAATGTTGATAACTGCAGTTAGCCATACCATAACGTGCTTCCAGGCATGGGAAGGTCCTTCTCTTTAACAGTGGCATGCAAGGCATGCAACAGGCATTTGTCCAGAAGTGTATCAACCTCTTCAGCTGATAGGGGGTGCTGGCCATCTTCTTTTATTTCGTCTGCAGAAACGTTCTCCATCACATTCAATTCAATCATAGCCTCACTTAGCTGAGCATCATCATTTGCAACATCAGGTTGAATTTTAGGACCACAAATAGAGGAAGTGACAATATCCACAGAATCTTCTGTTGCTCCTTCATTATCATTGGTGCTGGCATTTTTTATGGCATCGTCACATTCATGTGATTCAGAGGCCTCATAGGTAGACACAAAGACAGGATCCTCAAAAACAACATCTTCTAAAAAGCCAGCATTTGGCACATAAGGATTTTCTGTTGCTTCCCTGAAAGGATATTACACATGGACCATACTTATAACTTAACATTTCACAGGACACTTTTATTTGATAACTTTTTAAGACTCAAAAGAGCTTACCAAAGCGTGTCTCGGTAATAATGGTATATTCTTAAAGCTTTTCCACGCAAACCAGCTCTCAGAGCTTCAGTACTACTCATGGTAGTAGTCCCAACCTAAAAAAGAAATGGAATTATAAAAATGAACTAAGATGACAAGTTCACCATCACAAAAGAAAATCAAAATTTATATGAAGGATTTCAGAAGCATACAGCTATAGGGGCAGGATTTCCAGGAACTAACACTGTCCATGCCTCCCCAGATGAGAATGAAGGCAACCCGTCAGCAGGAATACGAATGCCAGGGAACATTAAGTCTGCACCCCCAATCACAAAATGAGAAACCTCACCAGCCTTGAGCACAAAAGCAGGCAAAAGTTCTGGGACCTTCCACAGGGCATACACTGCAATCATAAGAGAACACAACAAGCATTAGTGAAGACTGCAAAACAAACAAATTGGTTAATGAAAAGAAATGCATGTTTGTTAATTTAAGGAAGCAAAAGGTGGAACCTGTGGGGAATATTTCGTTGCCGCGCCCATCTGTATCGAAAAACAAAGGACAACCACCCTCCAAACCATATATGAGAATACGATTTGGATATTTTGAAACTGTGAACTCAGCCTACAATGATTCCAATAAAATATAAAAATAAATAAGACCTAAGGTAATCAAAATTAAAAAAAAATGTACAACCATCCAACAACTACCAGATATCAATCAGCAAAGTATAAATAGCTTATATGTTCTTGAGCAACTCTAATTAGTAACTCCTAATATTTCACAAGATAGTACTGGCATTTCATCAGATAAACATGTAATATAAAAAACCAAATCAGCTAAGTCACAATCGTATTGGGTTATTAAAAATCATCAATAAATGGCATGTTTTCTATAGAACAAAAGTGGAAGCAGGAGCCTTCTGTCATCACTTAGGCTCTAACTATTGCGGGTGACCTTCAATCATTTCTATTTCTATTACAATTTGGAATTTTCAATCATTTCAACTTGCCATAAATGGAGATGACATAAAGGAAGAACTGAAGAAGCCACACATATGCAGAAACTGTAATTGAATGAGTTCTACTTTCATGGCACCCATAATGATGTGCCACAGAGATGAATAGCACAAGCCAAATATAGAGGTTGTAGCACGCGGACAACAGATAGGTTAAGGTAAATCTTAAGTAACCCGCCATTGTACCTTCCCTTACCTTCTCAACAAGTTATCTGGTTCAATGCTAGAAATTTAAAAGAAGGAATATAAAAGAGACAATGTGATAGCCTCATAGGCTGGTGATATGCATCCCTTAATTCCAGTACTTTCAGATTCTCATTTTTACAAAATTCCGAAAAGTTCCAAGCTTTCAACACCAAAAATTACAAATTCCAATGCAAATGATAAATCAGTCTCAAATGCACAAAAAAAAAATTATAACTGACGAATCAACTGTAAGCATCACATGCACAGCGATTGTGATCTTTAATACCTTAGGAGGAAGTAAAGTGTCGATATCAGCATCGGAGGCATTCGGGAAACGCTCTCTGATGGTCCGCCGGAGCTTCTTTCGGTCCGCACCGGAAATTCTCTGCTGTGATCTCACCTCCACCGTCTTCTTAAACATATCTTCCTTTTTCTAGAGGGGACAGGGGAGTAAATGAGATTTCAGTTTCTGTTGATAGGCTTTTGGAAGGTTTTGAAAGATGAGGGAATTCGAAGCTTCACCTAGTAAGGTATGTTAGTTTGGTACTAAGTAATTAATAGGGAAATTAATTAACCTTCTGAACTTATATCATAATTATTAATGCAATCTTGCATTTAAAAAAATCAATTACTTATCCTCTCAGTTTGGATCATTCTCGTTCTTTGCCCCCTCACATTAATATTTATTAAATTTAAATTTAATATAATTCTTAAATTCAATTTAAAATGTCTATAAAATTAATTTTTAATGTAAAACACAAATTAGTATCATAATTATAAGTCACTGTTGTTGATCGTAGTTAATAAAAAATTTAAAACACAAATTAGGTCTTAGATTGATTGCTTTCAATTATTCAGATCATGGAATAATTGGAATAATCATCACACATTTTGTCTTTTAGGTCCCTTATTAATATTAAACCTATATTTTAGGTCATGGAATGATAACAAAATCTTAGTATTTCTTCTTTGCTATACACGAAAGAATGTCATTGCGATAATTCAACCGAATGAATTACAAATAAGACTTGTATATTCATAATGAAGAAATGTCTAGAATTTTGATAACACATTTTATAAACAATTCTTTTTAGGGAAAATGGAAACTAATAACCCAACCTTTTAGCGGTCTTCTTACAATAGTCCCACCTTTTGATTATTCATGAATAATCCAATCTTTGCACCTCATCTTCATTCACTGGTCCCTGACCGATTTATGACCTATTATTCCAAGTTATTTTCTTATCTTTGTAAAACATTATGTGATCATAAAGTGGAAATTATGGTATAATATTTTACAAAGATAAGAAAATAACTTGGAATAATAGGTCATAAATCGGTCAGGGACCAGTGAATGAAGATGGGGTGCAAAGATTGGATTATTCATGAATAATCAAAAGGTGGGACTATTGTAAGAAGACCGTTAAAATGTTGGATTATTAGTTTCCATTTTCCCTTCTTTTTATGTATCCCATGAATATGACGCGTGAATCTTCCCCTTAACTACTCTCATTAATTGTTACTCCACGATCGAGTAGTTAAGTAGAAAACAAATGATCGTCAACAATGACTTATAATTATGATGATAAATTGTTGTATATTTTAAAAATTAATTTAAAATACAACTTTCATTGAACATAAGAGGTATATTAAATTTAATTTAATTAATATTAACGTGAGGGGGTATGTAGTGAGAATGATCAAAACTTAGGGGGGAATTAATTGAATTTTGAAAATGCAAGGTTGCATTAATAATTATGATATGACCTTAGGGGGCTAATAATAATTTCCCCTAATTAATATGATGGCACGGATTCCAATTTCAGTGCAGCAAAGTATAGTTTATGTATAATTAAAAGTATAGTTTTTGAAACATCATCCTGTCCGAACCGGCCGGACAGGAGGCTCCTCCGGCCACCTCAATTTGAGGTGGTTCCGGGGGTATTTTTGGCTGAAATGTTTTGTGTATGCTCCTCATCAAGTCTAGTTCATCCATACCAAATTTCATAAAAAACTTCAATCGTGAAGGTTGTCAAATGATTTTTGCATGAAAACTGGTCCGGAATATACATATAAAACGCAGTTTTCATGCACAAATCATTTGACGACCTTCCCGGTTGAATTTTTTGCTCAAATTTGGTATGGATGAACTAGACTTGATGAGGAACATACAAAAAGAAATTCGGCCAAAAATACCCCCCGGAACCCTGTCAAATTGAGGTGTCTGAACAGGGCCTTCCTCCGAACTCGAGGGAGGTGAATATTTGTGTGTGTGTGTATATGTGTGTGTGTGTGTTTATATATACATAGCATGATGAGATGGAGTACACATGTTTGCTTCAAGGGAGAGTGCTAGATGATTCATTTAAAATAGTGAAGATCAACTCAAAGTGGGGCAATAATCTCTAATTCCCGTATTAAAATTTTCCAGGTGAAGTGCAAAGCAATAATTAAAATAATTATGGTCGTTCGTGCTAGAGGAGTTACTTTTTGTAGGGCTTCTGTGCCAAAAACAGATGCCGTTTTAAATGAAATGGTGTCATTTTGGGATCGGTACACCATGAGCATAGTGGGCCGATCTCACGGTATAATTTGCTACTCGATCTAATCTTCACAAGTAAAAATGACTACCCACTATTAGGGTTTTTTACAAGAATATTACTAAAATAAAACATATTTACATAAAGATGACTATTCATTACTACAATGTGGTGTTGTGGTAACGTAAGCTCAAAACTTGAACATGAATTACTATGATTTCATTACTACTCTAGTCATTAGTCATATTTTTGTAAATCATCTTTATTTTGGTTATATTTATGTAATTATTTCCCACTATTATCCACCCAAAAGAATACTCGTTCCATATTTGAATAGTTCACTTTTCCTTTAAGAAAGCTTTCAAATACTTCTTGTGTATTACATGAGTAATTCAATGACGGAGTTGGCAGATTGCGAAGGGGAGAAATGCATTTGATGCGACAATGATAAGTCCGTATTTCGATACGCATTCGATTCGTGTTGAGATCAGGTTTTGATAGTTTTTCAAACTTAAATGTGTCACAAGGCTCATAATTAGCTCAAGTCATAGTATACTGGGTTTTGGTGTGTTTTTGGTGTTTTTAGAATTAAAATCAAGAAATTGAGCCCCGCACCGGAATTGGAGAATTACTCCGTAGGACTCGAGACAATTTGAGAGTTATTGAGAAACATTGAAGGTCCATGATTCATTATAGGAGTGAAGTTTTGAAAACAAAAGAGCTGTAGGATCGAGTACGGGATCAAACGGAAACGAATATAGCTTGAAAACGACGATCAGGATGATGTTCTGTCAATCTTTCAAGCATATCTTTTTATAAACATCCAAAGTACACGATTCAAGTTCCGTATGAAAGCTAACTTCAACGGCTACAAATCATATGAAGACACCATAACGAGAATATGAGAGGAGCAGGGAGAAAACAGACGAGGAGCAAGTTGTTCCTCAAATTGAGTGATAATAGAGGCCACAAGATCGAAGTCGGAAACAGGGTGACCAACAAGAGCGAGAGAATCCACAATGTCACCCATGTCTTTCAAGTAGATCACTTTTAGCGTAAATGCTATATTGTTTTAAAAATTAAGTAATCATCCCTTAATATTTTGAATTCGACACCTGAAAACGAGTTTAAGAACATGATAAGATCTTTCTAACGAGATAGAAAACACTTGAAACGGTAAAACATACAGTAAGATATGAGTGTCACAAATACTAAGCCTGTTATCTGTGTTTTTAGATAGCGCGGTTACCTTTTGGATTTTTGGCGAGTTGGGCTTTGAGAAAAAACACCTGATCGGGCGTTGTACTCGCATAGGTTGAATTGAGTCGAGTCCACACATCAGAAGCAGACGCCACAGTGGAGATGACGGGCTGATTTGAGTCCGAGCAACTGCCCAAAAACGCAGAGACCAACACTTGGTCCTGGCGGTACCAAATGGAGAGCAGCGGGTTGCATTTGGTGTTGGCAGCGTCAAGAAATTCATATGGGGCGGTCAAGGTACCGTCAATGTATCCAACAAGATGGGGAAGTGGGTTGGCGCATTGAGCTGCACAACTGTGGTTTCGGAAGTGATGGGGGCCATCGCAGAGAAGAACAGATCGTTATAAACAAATGGATGGGTAGAAAACCTAGGCAGCGGCTAAAAAAATTCGATCTGTGCTCTTGATACCATGTAAAGGCCGAAGAAAAATGCTAGAAGTACCACCACAGTTACAAAAAAACTTACAAACAAGTGGTGTGGCTATTCTAATTACCATTGATGTAAAAGTGTTGTAAATGTGATGCGATGTGTTAAATAATGTGATGATGCCACATACCCCTTTTGTAAAACTTTTTGTAAAAGTTTTTGTACCTCTAGCATAACTCAAGGCTGAAATTGTGTATTATTCCTTGATGTATCTTTGTACATATATTACAATGGTATTTATAGGATGCTAGAGTCAACACAACTAAGAGAGAATATTAAAGAAAGGAAAGGATATCAGATCCTTTATACAAGGAAAACATATGATATACACAACAAAGGAATAAATATAAGATCTTTAATACAAGGAAACAAATGATATGTAAATCACATCTTAACATGTGAAAGAGATGAAAGCTAGTGAAAATACTAGTAAGAGAATCTTGCAATTGAAAATTGAAAGATTGAAAGAAGGAACTTATACTATTATAGTGGGGAAAATAATACTTCCTCCGTCCCGAAAAGGTTGGCCAAATTTCTTTTTTTGGATGTCCCAAAAAGATTTGTCATTTCCATTCAAAGTAGGGAATATGTGGCTAAAATTAATTCTCTCTCCTCTGCACAAATTTCAACCACACAGTTTTTACTTTATTAATCCACGTGAAATTCAACTTTGGCCAACTTTTTCGGGACGGAGAGAGTATTGGTTCATTCACAATTGTCAACAAATATGTGATGGGTAGAGTAAGCAGGTAACCATAAGTGAAGAAGATGTGATGGAGCGTGAAATTGATCGATAATTAAGAGATAAAGTGTGACGGCCATTTAATAAAAAAAAGTAGTGCAAGAGAGAGAATAAGAGTATGTTTGGCACAACTAGCTGGAAAGATACTTAGCTTTTAAGTAACTGTTAGCTTTTAGTGGCTTAAAAGATCTTAAAAAGAAAAAGCACTAGTTGTTTGGTAAAAAACTGACTTTTTGATTTAGCTTTGATTGGTATAGGTATACAGACTGTTAGGAGTAATCAATGCTAGAAGCTATGGACTTATCTGAGATGCTACTCATTGTAGCATCTCAAAAAAGATCTTTGATGAAACGGTTAGCAACACAAGAGGGGGGTGAATTGTGTTTGTGTGGAACTGTGGCAGTTTCTCGCACAGTTCTAGTGTGGGAATAGGGAAATGCGAAATAAAAGGAACACACGAATTTAATGAGGAAAAATCTCTTGGCTCAAAGGGATTCAGAAAACCTCGACCTCCCTTGGAGGAATTTTGAACAACTTCACTAAAAAGCCTTTAAGTGGTTACAAGGTAAATTCTCCTAATCTACCCTTGAGCCACCCCAACTCTATCCTCTCTAGGAAGAGTTATGCTTCTCTACCTTACGGGTAGAGAGCCTCTCAGCTTTACATCAAAGCTCTCACACACACGATCCGAAACAGAGGAAGCTACTCTTAGCTTTTCCTCGAAACCCAGTTACAAGATAAAGAAGGGAAAAGAAACTTTATCTAGAACTCTGTGTGTAGGTTTAGGTGCCTTGAACTTGATAGCTCTTTGGAAATCTTTCTCCTTTTGATTTCTCTCTCAAGCACTCCTTTCTTCTTCTTGATCCTTCGAATATATAGGCTGCTGGAGGGTATCCGTTGTGCTTCCTTTCTTTGGGTGGTTGGTAGACTTGCCTTGATATTTTTGAATCACTTTCCTTCTATTTTGAGCACCATAACTCTCGGATATTGCCATCATTAATATCAGTCCATATAAAAAGATATACTAGCACGGATCACATATATTATAATCGAGCAGCCAACTTTTATTAAAACAGTTTTAGTGGAAAATAGCAATGATTACTTAGCAAATATAGATATGCATGGGCAACATGTAATATTTCAAAGGTAACTTTCCTTTTACACATATAGCTAATGATCACCTTTTTCAAACCAAAGGAGTACAGATCATGCTACAGTCACAAAGTAATTAAAAGCAAGGATTCCTTTCCATAAAGGTTAACTTATCAATATATAAAAGCAAGCTTAATTTAAATATATTGCCACATAAATCATGATTCTTTCCACAAATATTGATTTGATATTCAAATCAAGAATGACTTTTCAAATTGTAAGGCAATAGAATATTTGTTAATCAATTACAAGCATGCTACGTATATAACCAATAAAATATGGATCATGATATGCACTCACATTAAGTAAAGATATTTTCCATAAAGTATTTAAACAATATTTAATGAGTGGATGTCTTGACAAGTATGGAAAGATAATAACCACCCAAATAAGTACTCATATAAGCAAAGTACGTATATATAGAGTGGACATGGATATAAAGATACTTTTGCTTAAAATAATATTCTTGATAAAGTTTAAGCACTCATATAAGAAAAGTATATTAATCGAGAATCAAGTAGGCGCAATTAATATTAATTCAAATCATATCACGGAACTAGAAATGGTTCTGCATTAGTTCCACCTGCATGGTTAGTCAACAACACACTAATAATATCCATTTGGTCCTGAGGATAGTTTTGTCCTTTGTTCCGTAAGGAATTGTGAGTGGTTATGTCCACCGTTCCACCTGCATGGTTAGTCATCAACAAAACAACATACTCAATAATCTTTTATTTTTATAAAACCCCTTAAAAGTTGGCATACCAAACATACAACCAGAAGCTTTTAAATTTTTTTTAAATAGTACAAAAACTTAAGGGCAAGGACTTATGTCTACCAAACATAGCCTAAGTGGAATTTTAGAACGGACGAAAATTTTTATGAAGAGAGAGATAAGCGATTTGGTTTGTGTGATCCCAAACATCTTCGCTCTTTTGCCAAATAGGTATACCACTTTCTAGGGGTGGCCACAGTCCGGGACGGTCAGGGATGGTCCGGGATTTGTCTTATCCCGGTCCCGATCCGGTTTTATAATATCGGTTCGGTACCGTTCAGGATAAGTATTTATCTCAATGTTGTCCCATTTAAAATGGGGCCGGGACAACCCGAGGAAAACCGGGATGGTTCCGAACGTCCCTTAAAATATGCATTTGTGAAATGTGATATAAAAATGAGCATAACATCAAAACAAAGATGTGACTATTTTTGCAAATTTAGCTTTCATAAAAAGTTAAGTAAAACCTGTAATTAACTATTTTTAACTATTGTCTTGAAAATTTTTGCCCCCCCCCCCCCCCCCGCCCCGCCCCGAATCTTGTGTTTCCTCTAGCAGTAGCGCAAAATATTTTTATACTTTGTAGTACACTTGTAATTTTTCAATACCACATTAAATTAAATATCATATCTATAAAGACACTATATATATATATATATATTGTAGCAGTTATTTTGGAAAATATTAAATCTATAACAACATTATATTTTGGAGTAGCAGTTATTCCATCATAAATAATTGTTCGCACATCATAATATATTATGGAGTAGTATTGGAATGAGAACTAAACAAATTTTAATCAAAAGAAACAAAAGAAAAGAGACAAGGAGAGACTTGAAATAAGACAAAATTACATTAGGGAGACTAAGGGCTCGAAAGTTTTAATTGGACTTGGCTATTAATAGCATTGTAAATTTAAAATAACCTACTAGTTTCAACCGGGACACCGGGACAGGACATGATGTTTTATAGCTATCCCCGTCCCGTCGCAGTTAATATCGGTACGGGACCGGTTCAGGATGAAAAGATTGCATCCTAAATGGATTGAGATAGTTTCAGAATGTTATCAGAATTTTTCGGTTTGGGACACCATGACCGGGATTTTTGCCCGCCCGTACCACTTTCCTTATTTTTTTAAATACTTGTTCCTCCTCTTATTAATTGTGGGACATGGATAAAGGATATGATACATAAATTTAAATTTAATGGGGGTGATTGGTTTAGAGACAATATAAATGTTGTGAGTCATATAAATATGTTAAACAAATGCTTTAGAAGAAATATACGTAGTAATAGGAAAAGCAAAATAAGCATGAAGAAATATATCCATTAGAAATAATTACACATTTATGACTAAAATAAAAGTTGTTTATAAAGCATCTTCAATGCTAAAACGTTAACGGTGCATACGTGGCATGAGAGATAGCCAATGAAAAAACAATAAATAGAATATCTCTCTCCTTATTTGAAGGATCTTATATCATTTTGGTAAGTTTTTCTTCACAATGTCAAGCACAATGTCTAGATGTAGACATTATGCTTGACATTGCAGAGAAAAATTTACCAAAAACACATAAGACCGTGGAAAGACGGAGAAAAATATCATAAAATCAAACTTTTGTGTCTATCTCTCTCATGCCGCATGTGCACCGTGCACGTTATAGCATTGGAGATGCTCATAAAAGTACAATCTCTTAACTATAGTGACTAGCTAGATTAGTTATTTTAATAATAATAACTTATGTTCAATTTTAATGATTAAAATACCACGATATTATATTCTACTAACTTTTAATTATATTTTTATGAATAAGTTTTACGCTTGTAATATTTTTAAAAGAACTTCTAAATTAACTTTTAATATTTTTTAAAAAACATCAAATTGGATTTTGAAACAACCATCATCATTATTGTTCTCCTTGAGATAGAACATTATTACATTTTACACAAAAGATTAACTTATTTACTCGATACTCCCGCACTCGTTTATTATGACTCCGCAGGGGAGGGGGTGGGGACGGGCGCGCCTAGATGAATGGATTAGTTAAGGAGTGGGGCCAGGTCCCGGCCATTGGGCATAGGAACGACGTAGAGGATGAAGCCGTCGGTAGGAAGGGGGGCTTCCCCGCCGGAGTTGAAAATCAGGCCAAACAAAAGTCCAGCAACAGCTCCGGCGATGAAGGCTCCAACAATTCCCCCGACGATTCCAGCGGCGGCGACGAACGTGGCAGAAGCCTTGGCGCCGAGCAAGTGAGTTGCTGCTGCAGTGGCGACGAGCTTCCCCAACGCAGCCCCACCGGCTTCCGCCGCGAAAATCAACGCCTCTCTTAAGGCCGTCGTGAGTGGCTCACCCGAGGAGTACACGTCCCATACGATCTGACCCATGTCCATCAGGAACATCGCGGCCGACCCGAATTTGAATTTCTTCTTCCTCCCACCGTGCCAATACGAAATCGAGGATGGGTCGGCGGCTGCCTTTGGGCCATCCAATGCCTTCAGCCGACCCGATTCCTCAAGGACGGAAGTGTATACCGCCAGCTTCTCCTCCTCCTCCAAGTCCTCGAACCGGCCGGTGAATCCGAGCTTCGCTTTGTGAGTCCGTACCAGATCGCTGAACTCGACGCCGCTGTTGGCGAGAAATTTGGAGTACTCCTGGGAAGCGTAGGTGTTGACATTGAGCCTGATGTAGCTCACAATCATTTGGTCGTACTCCTGGATGGTGTCGGAGAGATCCGAAACCTCCGGCGAGCTCCCGGAGTCGAGGTCCTCGACGGCCTGGAAGATCTGGGTGAAGTGGTCCTGCATTTTGTCAAGGTAGTCCCGGCGGAGCGTGAAATTCCGGAACAGCTGCAGCGCGTTGTTGAGACAGTGCTCGGCGTAGACGAGAGTCTGATCCGAGATCCTTCCCCGGACGGCGTCGTTTGAGCTCTTGTACTTGGCCGCCAGTGCTAAGCACTCGTCCAGGAGTGTCCTCACCGATGCGGCATTGTTGTTGCACATCGTCAGGTACTGCACTTGTTCGGCTACGCTGCTGAAATTCATGTAGTACATGTTCTGAACTTCTTGCTCGCGAATCAGATCGGCGAGCCGCCGGAGGTTCCCCTCTTTTAGGTATACGATGTCCACAGCTGCCATTGCTATGATCCAATTGATATGTGTATATTTCTGTTCTTATCTGCTAGCTTAGAGCTGCGGAATATATATACACGTATACTACGTATGAGCTGAATATATATGTTGATCTTACTCCCTCCCATTTTACTTAGCCAATTTTAACTTTTCATGTTAATGGAAGTCTAACTTTGACCGATTATATATTTATATAAAGAAAATATTAATAAAATGAAAAATCATATGAAAATGTTCTTCTTTAAAAATAATATCATAAAAGTATAAAATTATTAAATTTTGCATAAACGTATTAGTTTAAATAATTGGTCAAAATTTACCATCTTTGACAGAAAAAGTCAAAGATGGCTAAGTAAATTGGGACGGATGGAGTATATGCTTAGGATATTTTCTAAAAAAAATTTACAAGAAATTGCATCAAAAATTTCAAAATAGGACTTGAAGTTTTAAATTCCCTAAATAGGACTACAAATTACATTTTTAACTTTTATCTCATAATCATATTTCCTCAATCCTCTCCCATCGGTCACTACACTTGCGATTACATTACAGCCTTCCCTTCCGACTCAGCTGCCATGGAGGTAGCTTGAGCGAAATCGATCGCATCTCGACGACCATGAACATCTCAACCGTCTGCTCAACGAAGGCTACCGCCTCTTCAACGATTCATCCGGAAAGATCAGGTCTTCCTCCTCTTCATCTTCTTCTTCCTCCTCCTGCACTCTGTTTTCTGTGTTTTCTATTCATTTACTGCCTTTTCAAATTATAAGTAATTTTGTAGATTTGAAAATTTCAGATTGATGAAAAACATTTTTTCTTTGAAAAACAACTGATAGGAAATTGTTGAGTTTGAAATTTTATTTATTTATTAATTTTGATCAATTTAAAATATAAGAATGTCATAACTACCTTTTCAGAAAAATGACACTTTTCATATCTGAGAATGTCAGGTAATTAGAAAAATGTCGTTTTATGGCATTATTTTTCAAATTTTGAACTTATTAAGATGTTAGTTTTAAATAAAACAATGTCACTTTTAGATAAAACAATGTCACATTTATGTCACTAACTTTATAAAGATGACATTTTCTGACTTTTCATTTTTCTATTTCTACCCATATTTTGAATTTTTTATTTCAATTGCCATTTTTTATTTTAATACTGTCATAATTCTTAAGAAATGCCACAAATTTAATTTTAAAAAATCTTTACTTTTTTTAAAATGTCATGACTTTTACAAGAAAATGTTATTACTGTGTCACTTCTGATACAAGATGGCAATCGCCAAAGAGAGTAAATGAATTAGCTAGAGAGTGACTATGTTGGCTCGTGGGTGGGTAGTGGTAGTGGTTTGGTCGAAGGGTGGCAATATGAGCGAAGGGCATCAAGTGAAGTGGTTTGTTGAAGGCCGGATGCATAGGTGTTGCGCCAATGTAGGAGGATGAATGCAGTGGTTTGATCGATGGATGAGCGGTGCGAACATACTACTGAAGATCATTAAGGGTAGTTTTGTCAGATTAACTCTTTTAGTCCTATTTTTGTCCAATATAACATACCAATCCTATTTTTGTAATTCTACCTTCTTTTAGTCCTATTTAGGGAATTCTCTCTAATTTTTATAATTTTGTACTACCTCCATCCCATTTTAGTGAGTCACCATTGATTTTTCCAATCAAGGATGATGATTTTTGATCAATCATAGTTTTGTGAATTATGTAAATTTTATACTTTTGATATTATATCCGACAAAAAACATTTTTATATCATTTTCATAAAATATATACTTTCATATATAAATATACTAGTATTTTTACAAATAAGTTTAGGGAGTCCGGAAATTTCTAAATTAAAGTTGGGGAATCATATTGATTCTAAGGCCCAATAAGGATTGGGAACAAATGTTATATTTTATTTGACCCTTTAAAATATAACATTTGTTTCCAATCCTTATTGGGCCTTAGAATCAATATGATTCCCCAACTTTAATTTAGAAATCTCCGGACTCCCTTTTTGGGCTGTTATCAGATAAATTGCCGATACCGATAATTTGGCCCCGTTTGACCAACCGGTCAACTCTATGCCATTGCCATGGCCCAATTAGGATATCCATCACCATATCCATATTATCTAGTCCAAGATTAATATAATATGTGGTCCCGATAATATCGGGCGGCCCCACATCCGGTGTGGGCCCCACGTGAATTTTACTATTCACGTAATAGAAATGATAAAGATTTACAATCACGTAAAAATGCTTTTATACATTTCTCGAGGTTCAATACATAATTTGGTACAGTACAAATGCCGTGCACTGGGTAAAAGATACTCTATATTACGTAGTACGAAGTATTATTTTTAGTTATTATAGAACGTAGAAAAAAATGTTGGAAGATGCAAGTCTCACTTCATAGTATTTAAAGAGAATGGACAACCAAATAAATATATTGATATTGAAATTTGATCTCATTTAGTTTACTGTTACATAAAACTCAATTCAGTTTTGATGGATAGTGTACCCGGGGGTAGCTTATCCGAGGGTTACTGCGGAGAATAACTAGAGAGAAGTCAGAACAGACAAGTAAGAGAGAGAGTCAAATGTATTCAATGAACTCAGCGTGGTTTACAAGGGGAATAAGGGTTGCTATTTATAGCAGCCTATTTATAGGAGGGTACACGTGTCAACAATCTAGCAGCCGAGGGTCACTTCCACCGGGGTGGCACCGGCATTTGCATGTGGCCGCATTGAATGTGGTGGTTGGATATGACGTTGTACTGGGTACGGCGATTCAGGCGCATGTGGAAAGGGGATTCTGTCGAGGAGGATGCCTTCGGCCATTCATGTTTTGGCCAAAGGCTCCTCTAATCGGGGCCCCCGTTGCCGAGGGATGTCATAGCAGAAAGCTCCTGAAATCCGGCATTTTCTCCCAGTAGCTTCGTATGCACAAATCTGGCTGTCCTGTGAGATTTTGAGCCTTCGGCCATGTAGCCGAAGGCTTTGGTATGTACACCGCGGACTCCTTGATACTTGGGCCGCTGCGGTTTGGGCCGATGTGCTTCCTGGGCCCGTTGGGCCTGCGTTAGAGCAACATGAGTCTATGGGCAGGGAGTACCCGGACCATATACTCCAAGGAGTCCCCCACTCCTTTTGCCGAAAGGTACTTGAGGGAAAAGGAGTACTCAAAGCTCAATTGATCCTTCTCCGTTGTCTGCCGAGGGCACTCCCTCAGTCCCCCACATGTCGAGGGCTGAGGGCTTCCTAGGGGAAAGTGTTCACAAGTGTCCTTTTGTTGATGTGAAGGCTGTTTTTGTCTCCCTCGGTGCATTTGTGAAATTTTGGCGATTTGCCTTTTCTAAAGGGTATAATGATATCATGTACCCGAGGGGTTTTGATTTTTGCCTTGTAGTGTTTCTGAGGGGCACTCCCAATCCCCCACTCCTTCATGCCGAAGGCAAGTCCAGGTTGAAGGAGTTAAGAGTGATGTTTAGACCCGAGGGCATATTAAAATGAGGGGTTATCAATGTGAGACAAATCGAAGGGTCTCAGTTGATTTTGCTCGAAGGGTGATAGTTGTGCTTACCCTGGAATATAGCCGTTCGGAAGTTACCGTTGGAGGTGGGGTCCACGTGGCATGCTCCTGTTGGCTGTCTCTAGGCGGGTGGCACCAGTTGGCTGAGGCGGCGGTTTGTAATGATGATCTTTGCAACCGGGGGCCCAATTCTCGACCCAGGCCCGAAGTTGGGAATCTATAAATACCCCTTGGCCAGATCCATTCTTCCTTACGCGTTCTTTGTTGTAGCGAAGCTCTCGCAAAAATTTTCTAGAGAGAGAAACTCCCTTTCGATCAAACCAAACTTCCGAGGTCAGTTCTTCCTCCATTCTTTGCATCCTTAGCATATTTAGCTTCCCTGCTTTTAGATCTAGTGTTTAGGGGGCCTTTAGATTTTAGAAATTCCTCCTCGAAAAACTCTTCGCTACAATATGTCTTCCGAAAGTGATTCCCAGAATATCTTGAAGGAGGCGCTGGTGCATTCCGAGGATATTTCCGACGTGGAGTCCTCCAGCGAGCAAGCCTCGTTGAACAATGATTTTGCTATGGCCGCGGAGGTCCAAGATAACCTTCAGATCGAATTAGAAGCTGAGGACTTTGAGCAAGTCATCGAAGATGAAGAGATGGCTATCGCTTTCCAAGTAGCCGAGGAGGAGGATGAGAAGGAAAGGCAACAAGTCACTGTCGCTATCCTGCCCCCCCCCCCCCCCCCCCCGCAATAACGACGAACCTGGAAACTCTCGGCCTCTTGACCCGACACCCCTCAGTGCGGTTCCAGGCAAGAAAAAGAAGAAAACGAGGGCAACTCCAAAGAAGAAGCAGGCCGCCACCGATGCTGGGCAGCTGGTGGATATCCCCGAGGGCTATTCATTTTTCAATACTGAGGCCCTGGATGTGAAGACGAGGGCGACGACCGCCGAGTATCAAGCCACGCAATTCCTCGTGGGTCCTTCGGCATAGGTAGTGGAACCGGGACCGGATGACATGTTATTGCATGCCCCCGCCAGCTGCTTTGTTGTACATATACTCTCGGTGGAGTTGGGCCTCCGGTTTCCCCTCCACCCCTTCGTGGTCCAATATATTCGTTTCGTCAAGCTTGCTCCCTGCTAGTTGACCCCAAATAGCCACTCTTATTTGGCTGGTTTCCTCTCTCTTTGCCGGAGCAGGGGCGTGGAGGCCACATTAGATCAATTCTTCCTTTCCTTCAACCTCTGCCGGGGGGTCACTCAAATGCTAGAGGCTTCGCCAACCTGCAGCAACTCCCCGAGTTCAGGCTATTTGACGATGTCCCTTCGTCTCACAAGGGGTGGAAGGATAGATTTTGTTACATTCGTGTGGCGGAGAACCCCTTCCCTGCCTTACTTCGTGATAGCTTCCGGAGACATCTAAAGGCAGAGGGCGCTGCCCTGGAGAAGAAGGGGAGAAAACTATCCAAGAAGCCGGAGGGATCTGAAAAGCATGTCCTGATTAAGGTTGCCACCCTCCCGGATGAGCTGTATGATCTGGGCTTCCGTCGGTACCAGTTGATGGGGGGGGGGGGGGGGGGGGAAGATGAGAGATATCCCCCAATCGAT